ATCTGGAAATGCCCTAATTTCGCCATCATATTTGAGAGACAGTTTTGCTGGACATATAATTCTTGGCTGGCAGCTTTTTTCCTTCAAGGCTTTATATATGTCATCTCATTGCCTTGTTGCCTGTATGGTTTCTGCTGAGTAATCCGAGCTTATTCTTATTGACTCTCATTGGTAGATGACTTTTCGTTTATCCCTAGCCACTCTTAAAATTCTCTCTTCATCTTTGGTTTTGGCAAGTTTGGTTATAATATGCCTTGGTGACTTTCTTTTGGGATCTACCTTATGTGGGATTCAGTGAGCATCTTGGATAGAAATCTTCTTATCTTTCACGATATCAGGGAAGTTTTCTGCCAACAAATCTTCAACAGTTTTCTCTGTAATTTCTGTTATCCCCCCCTGTTCTGGTACTCCAATCACTCATAGGTTATTCCTCTTGATAGAGTCTCACATAATTCTTAGGGTTTCTTCATTTTTTTAAATCCTTTTATATGATTTTTCCTCAAATAAGTTGGTATCAAGTGTTTTATCTTCAATCTCAGTAATTCTGAATTCCATTGCCTCAATTCTGCTCCTATGACTTTCTCTTAGGCTGTCTAATTCTGAGAGTTTATTGTTAATCTTCTGGATTTCTGATTGCTGTCTCTCTATGGATTCTTGCAGCCTGTTAAATTTATCATTATGCTCTTCTCTAATCTTTTTGATTTCCTCTATTGCCTGTTCTGTGTTTTGTTTAATTTCCTTCTTAATTTCTTGAAGAGTTCTGTATATTAATCTTTTGTATTCTGCCTCCAGTAATTCCAAGAAATTTTCCTCCTCTGAAATATTTCTAGACTCTTTATTGTGGGAGCTTACTGAAGCCATCATGGACTGCTTCTTTATGTGATTTGATATTGACTGTTGTCTCTGAGCCATCAATAAGTTATTATATTTATTTATTTGATGTTTGCTTACTGTGTCCTTGCTTCTTGTTTTGTTTTGATATTCCCAAATAGGCTGCTCATATGAGCTAGTTTGATTCTTGGCACCTTTGAGGCTCTAATGTCCTGTCACCAGGTGGTTAGATCTGTTACTAGGTATGTGAGCTCAGGAGTCTGCCCACTCCTCCTGTATGGATTCAGCTCAGGTGCCCAGGTAGATAGCCACCAAGTGCGTGGTGTAAGCTCTCACTTACAGTCCTAGACAGACATAGGTGATTGGTGTAGGCACAGGCATCTGGCTGCAGCAGGGGGACACACTCTGAGCAAGGCAGGGGCCTGACGGCCGCCCCCAAGTGTCCATGAGTAAGGTGTGTCCCTGTTCCCTAGAGCGCATAGGGGGGTGGGTTTTGCAGCCGGACTATGAGCACCTAATGCTGTTGGCTGTAAGGACTAAGGGCACTTCTTATTCATGGGCCCCTATCGCAGATGCCTAGGTGGTGTGGGTGGAGCCATCAGTCCTCAGGCCCCTGATGTGGGTAGGTGAAGACCCTGCTTAATGGGCAGAGCAGTGTCAAATGTCAAGAACCTACCATTTCACAGCTGAAAAGTTGAAGTTAGAGTTCTGGTATATACCCTGTTATACTGTGGTAATGAGGGCTACGCTGTTGAGATGGGCCCACATAAGTCTATGCAAGGGGAAGGGCACTCAAAGTCCATGGTTCCCTTATGCCTGTGCCTAGGCAAAGGAGTTGTACCTACCCTGGGTTGCTGGCTTAGGGGAGCTGGCAGTTTATTTTTTTCCCCGTTTGTTAATTTGTTCACTCTCCAAGGCAGGGAGAATAGCTCCAGGTGTGTGACAGATCCTACTTCCGGCCCAGGGGACTAGGCACTTGATGAAGCTGGTCCAGGACTCAGTGCAGAGCAGGGAGTGGGGAGGTAAATGGGAGTGAGGCTTTTCCCTAAGGGGTTGTTTTTGATCCCCGCGGTAAGCTATATGCAAGTATCTATCTTTCGCCAATGAGGGCTGCTTCTCACTGGTTCTGGGTGGCCATGTAGACTCTCCCGAGCACCACTGCTTGCCTTCGTCACTGCTCACCCACGAGCTGATCAGGCCTGAAGGGCTGAGGCTCTCCCCAGGTCAAATCTGGCAACTCCTTGCTGCTTCCGAACCATCTCTCCTTCCCCCTGCCACTCAGTCTGGTTCCTGAACTCTGCCTTTGATGTTCAGAGCTCCCAGATTGCCATATATAATCGAATCGCTTGTTTTTTTGGGTCTTTGTTGTAAGAGGGCTCACTGGAAGCATCTGACTACTCTGCCATCTTGGCCCTGCCTCCCGAACCTCTTACCTTTTAGTTAGCAGCTGAGCCCTTAACTGCTCCTTCTTCGTTTCCCGGTGCTGCTGTAACACAAATACCACAAGTGGGTGGCTTTAAACAACAGAAATTTATTTGTCATGGTTCTGGAGGCTAGGAGTCTGAATTCAGAGTGTGGCTCTGCCTTGTCTATTTCAGCAGCTAAAACCAAAGAAACCCAAACCCATTGCTGCCAAGTTGATTCTGACTCATAGCGATCCTATGGGACAGAATAGAACTGTCCCATACGGTTTCCCAAGGAGCGGCTGGTGGATTTGAACTACTGACCTTTTGGTTAGCAGCCGAGCTCTTAACCACTGTGCCATCAGGGCTCCATTTCAGCATTTAGTAGCCAGAAATCCTTGGTATTCCTGGGCTTGTAGATTCATCTTCAGTGTCTGTCTGTCTTCATATAGTGACTTTCCCTGTGAGTGTGTGTGTGTGTGTGTGTGTTTCAGTCTTTTTATAACTCAGAAGTGATTAGGTTTAGGATCCACCCTACACTGATATAGCCTCACTGACATAACAAAATAAAAACTGCTATTTCCAAACAGGGTCATATTTGCAGGTACCAAGGTTCAGATTTCAACAAGTATTTTGGGGGACACAATTCAATCCATAACAGCTTCCCCTAAGGAGCTCCACTGCCGGCCCACCTGTGGGCGGTGCTCTTTTTCCTCCAGCTCCTCCCTTTCTCTCAGCTTCCTTTTAGGTTTCTCTGTCTCTCTCTCTATTTCTTGTCCATTTTCCTGCCACCCTGTCCTTCCTTTGTGCTGGCTGGATGACCAGGAAGGACACAGGGGATGACCACCCCAGAGCATGGACTCATGACTAGTTAGAACGAGGGGGTCCTTGGAGTCCCACACAATCGACAGAGAAGGATGTTGAGTCTTACAGGTGGGACATGATGTGCTTAGGGTCTGTAGCTCAAGTCCTCTCCCTCCAAGCCTAGGCTCAAGTCTTGGTGCAGTACAGGTGCTTCCCGTGGCAGGGAGCTATTTGGCTCACATGTGCTTTAAGGAGAAACAGGCTCATGGTTGCTTTAACAGGACAAAAGAGGGGCAGCTGTCAATTGCCTGATGGCCTGCGACCTCTCCCATCTGCCATTCACGTCTCAGCCTCCTTTCTGCCTTACTTTGCTGGGATTGAGGGCCAGGGCTGGCGGAGAGCTGCCCCTGCCCAGAGTCAGCCTTGAGCCACAAAGAGGCATCCTCAGTCTGGGTGGACTGGCCATGCTTGTGATGGCCGACCTGCCCAAGTACCATTGGCCCTGCATGCCCCAAACTATGCCCTGGAAGGGGAACCTGGGAGTGGAGGGACCTGCCTGGCACAGGGGCGCCAACCTTGCTAGGCATTACAGAAGGCTCACTTCTTCCCATACCAATCAGACCCAGGAACACTGATTCTCCCACCCAGCTCCTGGGAACCCAGCAGCATACCAGCTTCCACCTCTTGACTGGGCAGAGTACCCAACTCCTTTCTCTAACCCCATTCCCACCAGCTCTCCCTGGAAAGAGCTGACTGTCCCTGAAAGGGGCCCAAGGAGCCACTCCCTCCATCCTCAAAGACTCCCTGGTCCCCACTGGCTCCAGGGAGAAGTGAGCTCCTTGTAGGTACACAGGAGGAGCCACGTGTGGCTCTGCACGGGGGCATTTCCTTGAGATAGGCCATCCCACAGCTCAGGCAGAAGCTTCTGGAATACAGAGGTCTCTTGGACACAGTCTAGAAGATTCCTAATGCCAGACTCGGCCCATGAATGGACCACCTCAAGACGGTGCCTCTGGGACCCAGGGTTTCTCCATCCCATCCTTTCCCTCTTGGGGACTAGGGGTGGACGAGAGTGCACAGGCCACCTGGTTTCTAAGGCAACGTGGACTTGTGCATGTGTGCATGTGTGCATCTGTGTGTGTGCACCTGAGCCTGTGTGCACTTGTGCATGTGTACACCTGAGCCTGTGTGCACCTGCGCCTGTGTGCATCTGTGCGTGTGTGCACCTGAGCCTGTGTACACCTGTGCCTGTGTGCACCTGAGCCTGTGTGTACCTATGCATGTGTGCACCTGAGCCTGCGTGCATCTGCACATGTGTGCACCTGTGCATGTGTGCACCTGAGCCTGTTTGCACCTGTGCCTGTGTGCACCTGTGTGTGTGTGCACCTGTGCCTGTGTGCACCTGTGCATATGTGCACCTGAACCTGTGTGCACCTGTGCCTGTATGCACCTGTGTGCGTGTGCATCTGTGCAATGTCCATGGGAGGGGCCCAGGCCAACAGCGGGGTGATGTTGGAGAAGCTCTCTGCTCCTTCGATTCCCTGCTCCTAACCTGACGCGTGCTATCCATCCCCAGGACTGTCCCCAGCTGCTGCGCGTGGACAAGATCCTGGTGCCTGTGGAGGTAATCAAGCCCATCACTCTGAAGGCCAAGAACCTGCCTCAGCCCCAGTCGGGCCAGCGCGGGTACGAGTGCGTCCTCAGCATCCAGGGCAGTGAGCAGCGTGTGCCCGCCCTGCGCTTCAACAGCTCCAGCGTGCAGTGCCAGAACACCTCGGTGAGCCGCCCTCCACCCCACCCACCCTGGCCCTTGTCCTAGAGCCCAATCAGACCTCAGATTTAGCTTCCACCGTAATCCAGTGGGACCTCACCTTAACTTATTTCGACTGCAAAGACCCTATTTCCAAACAAGGCCACATTCTGAGGTCCCAGGTGGGCATGACTTTTGGGGAACACTGTTCAACTGACTACAGTACCGAACGGTGTACCCTAACTGTGTGGCGCCCTTCCTGCCTGCCTTTCCTTGTCTTGTTTCTTCCCCAGCCACACCTTGGCCTCAATCATTCTCTTTATGGGCTCACGAATATGCTCCCAGATGCTCACAGACGATCACTAGACTTACAGACTCAACGTTGTCAAGCTGTGAGAATCTTAGAGTTCTTCACTGTACAAAAGAGAAAATGGAGGCCTAGAAGCAGGGACAGATCTAGGTTTGTGGGGTCTGCAGCTTATATAATTTGGGGGAGTCTCTTTAAGATCAAGAATGAAATACAATAAATACAAAATTAAATACACAGGCCTTGTAAGGGGCCTGGGTAGGTGAGTACAGGGCCCTGAAGCTGAAGCCCCATGCACTTCCAGGTAACCCTCCTCTGCCCAGAAGGAAAGCGACATGCTCAGGGTCACACAGTTAGTGAGTGGCAGGGTTGGGGCTAGATTTCAGGTCTTCTCCTGTGTCACACTGCCTCCCATTCATCTATCCAGTTGCCACTGGGTATTATAAGCAGTGACTGTATTGGGGGAACCTTCAATGAGATGGATTGACATAATAGCCACAACAATGGACTCAAGCATACCAGCAGTCATGAAGATGGCGCAGGACTGGGCAACGTTTCATTCTGTTATATATAAGATCACCTTGAGTCAAAGCTGACTCCGCAGCAACTAACAACAACAGTATTTGGGACATGATGTAGGACAAGGAAAGTTCTAGACGAGGGACTTAGGGGGCACTCACTCCTCTTGCAGGGCGCTGCCTAGGGGTAAATGGAGCTAAGAGAGGGCCACACACTTGCCCAAGGCCATTGGCATTATGGGACGAAGTTGGTCACTGATCTCACAACCCCACAGCTCCCCATTGGCACACCTCCTCCCCCAGCCACCAGGCTGTTCTTCTGATTTCCGCAGCACTCCAGATTGAACCTGCCAGCAAAGGAGATATTAAATACCTCGTACTTCTTCGTAAATCCTGAGGCCGAGCAGACCAGCCCCAGGGGTTTGGCTAAAGTGACTCTCCTCAAATAAGAAAGTCTGTGTGGGAAGAGAAAGCTGGCTCCCACATGGGACTCAGCAGAAGGTGGGCAGGGATTACAGATGTGGAGAAAAGAGCCTCGGTTCCTTGGAGAAGGTCCCCGGGATGACGGAGCCTGTGGCACATCTGATGACGAGCCCTCAGTTCCCTGAGAGAAGGGCACAGGCTCCACAAGTTGGGGCTCCAAGGCCCCCCGCTTTGGCTGACTGTGAAATAGAGGAAGGTACTCCGAATAATAGCCCGAGTTAGTCCTGTAAACCCCTGGGTCGGAACTCTGTCTGTGCCTTGAGGGCTAACTTGGATGGTTGTGTTTCAATGTCCTCTGCATCTCCTGAGCCCGTTGGCAGTTAGAGAACTTCCCCAGTGGGCGCAAAGCCTGAGCCTCCTGACCACAGCGCCCCGACGTCACCTCGGGGCCCAGGTCTAGCAGGCAGAGCTTCTCTGCGGTGTCCACACCGGGTACCGGTGCTGGCGCCCTCAGTGTCCATGGGAACAGGAAGAATACTGCCGGGCTCCAGCGGACGTCTGTGTGTCTGGTGTGGAATTCCTGGGATTTAAGGAATCAGCAGTGCACACAGCCCCTCACTGGGGAATCCACATCTGGAAGCCTGATGCCCTGAGACACAATGGTCAAACGTGCTACTAGCATCTGAGGGACCCCAGCCCTCCCTGGGTGAAAGGTGGTGCAGCCCAATTAGCTGGCCTCACGGGGGGCGCGGCCTCCGGGGGGCGCGGCCTCCGGGGGGCGCGGCCTCCGGGGGGCGCGGCCTCCGGGGGGCGCGGCCTAGGGCACTTACAGGTCTCCCTCCCAGGGAAGGAGGAAACCATGGGGCATTGGGACTAGAGGACTGGGGGCCCAGATTCTTAACCACCAAGCAAGTTGACTTGACTTTTTAGCTCCCACCCATTGCTCTGCCCTCACCTCCAGGAGCTGGGGGTGGCTGGCGCTGAACTCTGGCCTCCTGTCAGTCTGTGGCCTGCTTACCCGCCAAGGATCAGTTCTTGGTGCCTCTAGGTCGCTGCTGCCATAGCAGCTCAGCCGACTGCCTGCATGACTCTTACTTCCTCAACTTTCCTATTAAGGAAGGTGATGGGAAAGCATGTGAGTCTACCACTTTAAAGTCTGAGAAACGGAGGCAGCAAGAGGGGCAACTTGCAGACCCTAGAACCCAGGAGGAGTGTCCTCTACCGCTGAAGTTCCGCGGTTCAGGAGAGCTCAGCTCTGACTTTTCCCAAGAGCCTGTGTTTTTATGGGGAACAGTGGGATCCTACTTTAACTGCTGGTCTCGGCCAGGATGCCCTTTGTCATCAAGTGATTTCCGTAAACAATCTTCCAGGTCATAATCAGGGGTTAATCCTCCCAGACCATAGTTCTAGAAAACAGCATGCCCTCAGGGCAGGACTAGACCTGAGGTGTATTTACTTAATCTGGTTACAGAGGGGGACTCTGAGGCCCAGAGAGGGCAAGTGACCATCCCCAGGTCATACAGCAAGTAAGTAGCAAATGCAGAACTTGAACCCATAACGTACCCTGTAATCAAAGGTTGGATAAAAATAACAACTGAGCCCTTCACACCCCAGCTGTGGTCTTGGCCCTGCGAATAGGGTCTGACCTGCATCCAGGGGACTGTGTGGACGATGAGTTACAGTTGCTTCGCCTCCTGAATCCCGGAGCTCTAGGGAGTGGGGGAGGGGGCGGAAGTACTAGCAGGGAAACCCTTGGGTTTGTGGTAGCAGGAGGTGACAGTGAGGTCGTGAGCAGAGAAGGGAAGGGAGGCCCGGAAAACTCAGCGTGAGCATGACGCTGGGCTGAGGAGGCAGGTAAGTTGCTTCCAGCTCCTATTTGGAGACAGGGCCTGGGTCAGTCACTGTGGTCCTAGAAGCCTTTGGGAGGAAAACACCGCCAAGCTCACAGGCAGCAGCTGGAGAGGGAGTAATTGTGAGTATTAATGACCTACTTTAGACCAAGGAAGGAGCCTTGGTGGTGCAGGGGTTAAAATGCTCAGCTGCTAACCGAAAGGTCGGCAGTTTGAACCCACCAGCGGCTCCACAGGAGAAAAATGTGGCAGTCTGCCTCTGTAAAGATTTACATCCTTGGATAGATACCCATGGGATGGTTCTGCTCTGTCCTGTAGGGTGGCTATGAGTCAGAATCCACTCGGCGGCAGTGAGTTTAGACCAACGCTCCAGAAAATGTCAAGTGCTGCTTATAATAAGCCAGGCACTCAGCTGTCAGCCATTGGCATTACATAAGGGTGTGCAAAGGGCACATGGTTAGCTGGAGCACTGGCCATGAGGTCTGGGTTCTAGGCCTGGATCCCACTGACCCATGGAAGCCTCGTGATTTCTCTGGGCGCCTCGATTTACCACGTGCAGAATGGGAATGGAGAGAGGGATGGGAAGATAACACGTCCCCCCCCCCGATTTTACTGGGACGCAACTGAGACTGGCTCTGCTGGGCCCTTGGGGGCCTGGAGGCGACGCAGCACCAACACCAGTCTCACGTGGTACAGGCTGTTGTTCGGTTTGTTCTCCGTAGCGGGAGAAATTTCCAGCAAAATATCTCAGAGCTTGGGACAAGAGAGTGGTTGGAGAAGAGCAAGTCTAAATAAGATGTAGGTCTTCTCTTTGCTTTAGAAGGTGGAGAAGCTGAGGGTCATAGTCGCCCAAGGTAATGGATGAAGTCATCCATTAGCCCAGCCATGGTGCTAGACCTTGATTGAGATACTTAACCTCTTGGCCTCTGGGAGCCAGAAACACGTCCTCTCTGAGCGCTGGGCTTTGTGCAGATTAACTGCCCGCTGATTACAGAGAACTATATAAATGCTAAAGAGAGCAGAGGGGTGGGGGAGCCCTGGGAGATGGGGTCTGAGGCCCAGGCTCCCCAGGCCAGCTGGAGAGGCAGACAGCCCCAGTCCAGGACCAGCATGACTTCCCTAGAGGCCAAGGGGGACAGTGGGGAGCACCGAGGGTGAATGATTTCTGTAATATTTCATAGTCAGGACCCCAGGAAGTGGGAGGAGGACAGGAGAGCAATGCCCAGCATATACACTCCTTAAAGTCGTTTTTATTTTCCATTTTCCCCGAGGGAGAATGCGTGCACACACGCGCACGTGGAACACATAAGTGTCCTCACATGCACACATCCCCGTATGTGCAAAGAGTCTGGCACACAAACACGCAATATAAATGGTTGCTATTATTATTCCACGTAAACATAAACACGGGGAGCACAAATACATTTTTGCATAGCATCCCTATTTGTAGACACAAAGATGAAAATACACAATAATATTTGTGTGCTTATACTCTGTGCAAACACTGTGCTCCGAGATGAAATACATCATCACCACCATCCTGTCAGGCACGTACTGCTCTTAACCCCTCACTTTACAAATGGGGAAACGGAGACTTAGACCATTTGCTCACGCTCACACAGCTGGGAACTGGCAAAGCCACTTCATGGCAGTATATGTGTGTGTGTGTGTGTGTGTGTGTACTCATATGTGCATGTACACACACAGATAACACAGATTCGTGCACTAACCTCATAGATAAGCATACATATGGACACGTTTGTACACACGGAACAGGCAGAATTTCTTGCCTACCCTTACTGTTAGGAGCCAGTAGGTTCTACTGCTCTTTGGCCATTCTGGACCTGGTCACACCTGAAGATTCCACTTAAGGCCTGGACTGATGCAGGTCTGGGAGGCAGAGGTTGGCTCCAATTCTGAGGTGGCCTCCACCAGCATCCCCCCTAGAAATTGGAGCAACACCCACCTCCAGCATAGAAGGAGACCTGGGAGGTGTAAATGGTTAAGTGCTTCGCTGCTAACCAAAAGGTGGGAGGCTCAAATCCACACAGAGGTACTTCAGAAGAAAGGCCTGGCGATCTGCTTCCAAAATATCAGCCATTGTAAACCCTATGGAGCATAGTTCTACTCTGACACACATGAGGTCACTGTGAGTCAGAGTTGACTCGACTGGAACTGGACAGGATAAGCCTGGGGATCTGCTTTTATCAAGTTCCCCAGTGCCCCAGAGGAAGCACGTCCTACTTGTGTTGGCGTGTGAGGGCAATGCCTTGACCTGTTCACCTTGAGCACATTCTGTAACTCAGGAAGTCGCCTGGATTCAAGGGTTATAGCATCTCCTGTGGAAGCCTCTAAGAATAGGATACCTAGCTGTTCTTGCCCAGAGTCAGAGGGATGGACCTACAGGCCCTGGGGCTCTCCCAGGCCATGTATCCCAATGTTCTGTGGCTGTCTGCCCCTGGTGGAGGTGCTGTGGCTAGCTGAGGGGGCCTCAGGTATTCCCTGTAATATTCATCAACACCCCCACAGCCCAGCCCCTTCACATTTTAGCTCAAGTTTAAAAGAAGCTGTTGGCTCAGCAAATACTGTCTCATACCAAGTCCCCTGCACAGCCCCCCATCCAACTGATGGCCCACCTCAGCCCTCCTCTGCAGAAAGGGTCTCTAGCCCACCCCCTTACCACCTGTCAGGGAGAGTTTGCTGGGAGAATCAGGGAACCACCAAGTAGGGGCTGAAATGCTGCCAGGCCAGCTCAGAGTCCCCTCTGTCTGCCCTCCTTCTCTGGGACACTGAGAAGCATCTGTCATCTGAAGGCAGATTGGGGGTTTGCATGCCTGAGGACCCCCCACACCCTGCACCCCAAACCAATAGCCCCTCATTCTTAGCTCTATAGTTCCAGGGCCTGGACCTAGTGGGGTGGGAGCACCGGCAGGGAAGCAGGACCCCACGGGGACCCTGTGCCGCTCTAAAGGCAGTGCCCCACAGGGCGGCAGCCCCCTTGGCACCATGAGTGCCGTGGAGTCTTGACCCAGATTCCTGGTGTCCTCCAGGGTCTCCTCAGGATGTCACCCCTTGCCTCTAACCCCGCAGCTTCTCATCCCTTCACAGTGTACCCCTTTATCTCTCACCCTGCACAGTCATTTTCCTGCCTGCAACTTTATCATCCTCACCTGGTCTTTGGAAAAGCGTGCGCCTGCCCAGAACATTTCATGGGAATTAGGGCCCCAAAATCTAATGAGGGACCTGGCCTGGGCTCCCTGGGAGGTCGGGAAGGAAGGGGGCTCCTCCAAAGTCAGCTTCTGGGGAGAAGCCCTGCAGGGGACCGGCCCATGTCCGCAGTCTCCTTTGGAGACCCACGGGAGGTGAATGACCGGCTTGCTGGACTCCACTCCCTGAAGCAACATTCCAGGCCAGGCCCCTCCCTGCTTTATCCTCCAGAACTTCTGCTCCGCATCCCCTGATGTGTGCTTCCCCCTCCCCATACACACGCGCGTGTGCACATGCATGCACGGACATGCCTGCAGGTACACACACACGCACACGCACACAGTCTTGGTAGTCCCGGCCCAGTGCCCTCCCGAGCGACCCAGGCTGGACATTGGCCTCCCTCAGAATCCTGTGATCAGCTTTCCTCTCTCCTCCTTCCCCCTGGCCACAGTATTCCTACGAAGGCATGGAGATCAACAACCTGCCTGTGGAGCTGACAGTTGTGTGGAACGGGCACTTCAGCATCGACAATCCAGCTCAGAACAAAGGTATGGAGCCCCAGCTGGGCCCTGGTGGGGAGGCAGGGCAGCTGGGTTCTCTACGGCTGCTGTCACTCAGCGCCCACCTTAGAGGTGGCCCTCGGCCTCTGGCTGTGAGCTGTCTTTCACAGCCTCCTCACCGCCCTTCTCTGCTGTTTCTTGGCACGGGCTGGCGGCTCTGGGGAGTGGCCAGGAGGACAGCCGAGAGTGGATGGCGATTTGTGGCTTCCCTGTGAAGTCCTTTTCTCAGATCTGAAGTTTGTGTTTGGGCTGCTGTGTGTTTAAATGGAAACCCTGGTGGCGTAGAGCTTAAGAGCTACAGCTGCTAACCAAAAGGTCAGCAGTTCGAATCCACCAGCTTCTCCTTGGAAACTCTATGGGGCAGTTCTGCTCTGTCCTATAGGGTCGCTATGAGTCGGAATCGACTCGACAGCAGTGGGTTTGGTTTTGGTTTGGTTTGTGTTTAAATGGCTAAGGGAACAGAGTTGCCCCAAGTCCTGGTATCCAAGGCTGTGACTTCGCTCCTTGTCCTGTGGTCAACTGCCACGGTCCCCCATCCCCAAGTCCCTCTTGCTCTCTGTTCACAGTCCACCTGTACAAGTGTGGAGCCATGCGCGAGAGCTGCGGGCTGTGCCTCAAGGCAGACCCCGACTTCGAGTGTGGCTGGTGCCAGGGCCAGGGCCAGTGCACCCTGCGCCAGCACTGCCCCACCCACGAGAGCCAGTGGCTGGAGCTCTCAGGGGCCAACAGCAAGTGTACGAACCCCCGCATCACCGAGGTAAGCCGCCAGGCCCTGCCTGCCTGGGGAGAGGGGAGCTCGGGGTGGTGGCCGACACCCTGCCCGGGGGGCTGGGCCGGGAGACCTTGCCTGGCCAAAGCGTCGGTCACCAGCGGTCCCCAGGTGAACTCGGTTGCTCTGCCAGCTGGGAGGCTTGGTTTCGGGACCCCTCCTTATCCAGCGAGGCTGGAGCAGAGGGGCTCGGCTGCCCTGCTGGGGCCCCCACGTGAGACGTTGGAGAGGACTGGAGTCCCAGCCACCAGTCCTTTTGTCTAAGAACCTCAGTGAAGAGGCCGTGAAGCCCCGCCTGCAGCAGCTGCTCCAGGCATTCAGCCAGTGAGGGTGCTGTGTGGGTGCCCAGGGGCACCTACCAGCGTGGGTGAAGGTCAAAATGGAGAGGCCTCAGACTCACCTAAAGAGGACGAAAGATGCAAGAGATGGATTTGGGGCCCAGTTCAGGAGGGTCCCAGGACACAGGGCCATGGAGCAAAGGCCCAGAAGGTGCAAGGCAAGGTTGAACCTGCAGGTATTTGGGCCACAAGGAGCAGGGTTCAAATTCCAGCCCCACCACCTAATTGCTGAGTACCTCAGGGCTAATCAATCCATATCTCTGCGTCTTGGCTTCCTTGCCCAGGCATTGGGCTAAGTGTCCATCTCTCAGGAGAGTTACAAGTATCATATGAGGTCAGACATGTATAGTCCTTAGCTCTCTACCCAACCCAGAGGAATCTCACTCTCTTCTTCCTCCTTCATCATCATCCTTGTTAAAATCATTGCTATGCATGTCAGAGCCCAGGAAATATTGGTATCATATGAGGTCAGACATGTATAGTCCTTAGCTCTCTACCCAACCCAGAGGAATCTCACTCTCTTCTTCCTCCTTCATCATCATCCTTGTTAAAATCATTGCTGTGCATGTCAGAGCCCAGGAAATACTGGCCCCTGGAAGTTATTTAGGTAGAGCCCCTTCTCTTGGCTGACACACTACACTCCTGCAGAAAGATCACCTAAGGCTGTGCCCCCTCCTGCTGTGCCAGCGTCCCTGGCCCCTCTTAGAATAAGGAAGAGACTGGAGGGTATGTCTGTGCCTGCAGGTCTCTCAACAACAGGGCCGTGTCTAGTCGGCATCTGCACCTCTACACAGTGCTTAGCACATAGTAGGTGTCCAGTACCTCTCTGCCATTGTGGATGCTGAGTGTAACAATGAGCAGGGGGGGAGACGAGAAAGAAGAGGGAGAAGGAAGCTCCGTCGCTTCCTCTGTACACAGCGCCCAGTTTGGTGCAACATTCACAGATGTACACGTTACCCAAGAGCATGACAATTGCAGTCACAGCGATATGCTGCATATTTGTGCTGTGCTTTATAGGAGCCCTGGTGGCACAGTGGTTAAGAGCTTGGCTGCTCACCAAAAGATCAGCAGTTCAAATCCACCAGCCACTCCTTGGCAACCCTATGAGGCGGTTCTCCTCTGTCCTATGGGGTCGCTATGAGTCGGGATTGACTTGACGGCAACGGGTTTGGTTTTTTGGGTTATAGTTTGTAACATACCTGCACATTGCTGACCTGCCTGGTCCTCACAACAGCCCTGTCAAGGGCAGGGTCATTATCACCGTTGCACAAATGAAGAGACCAATGCCGAGAGATGCTCATTAACTCTAACTAAAGTGTGTCCTGAATCCCGGGTCTTTTGGCTCTTAGATTTATACTGTCCTCCACTGCACTGGGAACACACCCATATTTTCCCTTACTTGCCCACGAATTGTGCACACGCACCAGGGATGTGTAAGAAGCAAGACATAGCTGAGCTTTGTGGGTGAATACATCACCCAGCAGAGCTGCCCCTGGGGGTGGCCCTCTAGATGTGGCCCCACAGCTCAGCCTCTTTCTCCTCCACGTTCCTTGTTTTCCAGACACCGGGGGTTTCTCTCAGCCCTCACTTCTGTCCCCGGGTGGGTAGCAATCTAAACAGTGATTCCCCAACTGGGAGAAAGTATCTAGGTATTAACCTGCAGCAGTATATTGAGGAGAGGGGGGCGGGCGCCCGTCTACCCACGCCCCTGCCCCACACCTGACCATACACCTGCCTACGTCCTCCCAGCCACACCCACCTGCCTCCCTGGGTGGATCTTCTGCTCCAGAGGCATCTCCCGGGGCCGCCAAGCATGGCTGCTAATCCTGTGTGTCTGGCGCAGGTGGTGGGACTTGCTTTCTTCTTGGCCTGGGTCCAAGCAAATCACAGGGTGGAGACAGCAAATTGATCAGATCTCCTCGAGACCGGGGCTATCGACTGGCTCCTGCTGGCCTTGGCCCTCTGAGGAATCAGGAACCAAGTCCTGGGCCAGGAATAAACTCCGTCTTCAGGATGACCAGCCAGGGCTGGAAGATGGTACCTAGGCCAGCAGCCAGGAGCTGGCCGTGCTTGGGGACTGGTGGGCAGGGATCAGGGAAGAATGGCTCACGTCTGTCCACCTCCCACACACACAGTCGGCCTGTGTCTCCAAGGAGCCTGTTTTCCCACCTCAATGGGAACACGTATGTGCAAACCTCACACCCATGCTCACCAAAAACCAAAAAAAAAACCATTGCTGTCAAGTCGATTCCAACTCACGGCGACCCTACAGGACAGATTAGAACTACCCCATAGAGTTTCCAAGGCTGTAATCTTTATGGAAGCAGACTGCCACATCTTTCTCCCATGGAGCGGCTGGTGAGTTTGAACCTCCGACCTTTTGGTTAACAGCCAAGAACTTAACTACTGCGCCACCAGGGTTTTTTTCTCCCATGCTCACACCCATTCACAAACTCATGTGCCCACACCAGGGATGTGCAAGAAGCAGGAAATGTCTTGACTTTGTAAGTGAACAACCTCACCCAGCAAAGCTACCCCTTGGGGACAGCACAACCTGTTTCCTTTCCCTCCCCATCTGTCACCCTCACCCCAGGATGGAATCTCCAGTGGTGACCACTGAGGGTGGGAGAGCAGGAAATCCTAGAAAGGGCTAGGGGAGGAATATTTGGGCTCCTTCATTTCTGATCCCAGTGACGTTGGCCAAGACTCAGGTACCAGTGTCCTGAGGCACCCCAAATGGGAAATGTGCCCTCCTGGTCTATAAGAACCCAGGAGAGGCTGGCACAGAATGTGTTCGGCCATTACAGCCTACTGTGGGTTATCATGATTCGATTGTGTTAGCTGTACACAGCCAGCCTTTGGTTGATGGCTCCCAACATTCCAGTCATGGGTTTTTAACACCAATGACGACTTCTTCAGAGGGAAAGCTGGTCATTTTGACCAGTGTATGCAGGTAAAGTCTAATTAGACTCATCTCCACTAGAAAGCAAGCCAGACAAGAAGCTAACGGGGTTGAGACAAGATGCTCTTCTAATTCTTGGAGGGCACCTGGACAGATGTGGGCAAGAGAGAAATGTGGTGCTGTCACTGAAGGGCCTACAGAGAAGCAGGACTCGGTCCTTCCCCTTGGATCTGGCGAGGAGGGGATTGGGCAGGAGGTGGATGAGGGGTCAAAGCCAGACACTAATGATCATTACCAGGAAAGGGGCATAAAGAGAGTGCCTTGAAACTTCAGTGGGGAGAGAGAGAACGTCTGGTTATGGAGAAGTGACATTGGAGAAGGCTCTTGAAAGATGAGTAGGATTTCCATAGGTATGAGGGTTGATACAAGGGTTTTCCTTTTCTTGAGAGTGGAGCTTGCACAAGTGAATGCTGGAAGTTCTAATCTCAAGTTCATGCTAATTACCCAGTAACATTGCAAGTCACTTGTCTGCCCCTCATCTCGTCTATGAGATAGGAATGTGAGCCAGGGGCTTTGAACACTGCTCTGAAAACCACAAAGAACTCCTAGGTGTAGACCCAAAAGAGTTGAGAGCAGGGACTCAAACAGACACATGTATGCCAGTGTTCATTGCAGCACTATTCACAATAGTCAAAAGGTGGAAACAACCCAAGTGTCCATCAACAGATAAATGGATACACAAAACATGGTATATTCACGCAATGGAATATTATTCAGCCATAAAGAGAAATGGAGTCCTGATACATGCTACCACATGAATGAACCTTGCTGGGTGAGGTTGTTCAGTTACAAAGTCGACGTATTTCCTGCTTCCTGCACATCCCTTGTGTTTGTGAGTGAGTGTGAGCATGGGAGAAAAAAACCCTGGTGGCGTAGTAGTTAAGTGCTTGGCTGTTAACCAAGAGGTCGGATGTTTGGACCCACCAGCCGCTCCAGGGGAGAAAGATGTGGCAGTCTGCTTCCATAAAGATTACAGCCTTGGAATGACACCTTGAGTGAAATAAGCCAGACACAAAGGACAAATATTGCATGATGCCACTTATGTGAAATATCTAGAATAGACAAATGTATACAGACTGAAGTTTATTAGTGGTTACTGGAGGCTGGGTGGGAGGGAAATGGGGAGTTATTGCTTAAGAGGTATGAGTTTCTGTTTGGGGTGATGAAAAACATTTGAAAATGGATAGTCTGATGGTTGCATGATATGGTGACTGTAATTAATGTGACTGAATTGTACATGTAAAGATGATTAAAATGGCAAATATTTTGTTATATGTATTTTACCACAAACACGGATGTTTTACCAAAAGCTACCGTCCGCTGGTTGTCCCAGATCATGGGTGCCCTCGTGGACTTGGAGCCACCTCAGGACATCGGGCACAGATGGAGAAGAGCCAGGTGGCCGCTCCTTGCCCCATCAGTGATGACGCAGCCTAGAGCCTGTCACATTATCTCGCTTCTTCCTCCAGATAATCCCAGTGACGGGCCCCCGGGAAGGGGGCACCAAGGTCACCATCCGAGGGGAGAACCTGGGCCTGGAATTCCGGGACATCGCCTCCCACGTCAAAGTGGCAGGCGTGGAGTGCAACCCTTTGGTGGATGGCTACATCCCCGCGGAACAGTGAGTGGAGGGGACCTGACACCCAGGAGGAGAAAGAGGGGAGGGAGAGCAGTCAGTATTAGGAACTCCCTGGCCGGTAGGAGACCGTCTTAGGGCTTCTGGTGGGGGAAGGAGAAAGGCCCTAACATTCTAGTGGGTGTGGGGGGAACTCCCACAACTCCCCAACCCCTGAGCTAGCTAGCTGCCATATTGGTTGATGTGTAGAGAGGGGAGGTGGCTGGGAGAGAAGAGAAAAGTGATTGTCACCTACTTGGGATGTATGATGGGGGTGGGGCAACAAAGCACAGTTAAAATCTTCAAGAGAAGTATGAGTTCATTTCCTCATCCCCATTCTCCCTGCTGTCTCTAATTCCACACTCATGTCCCCCTATCCCTCCTACCTCCGTATCCCCCCTACTGAGGAGGCTGATCTGGGTCATTCTGCATGGGGCCTGGAAATGAAATTCCACACTCACTGCTAGGCTGTGGGGGCTTGGGTTATGTTTTTCTGAAAGTCTGCTGGTCCACTGAGTGGGCATTCCACAATGTCCTTGGCCTCTAACCCACCTAGCAGAGGAGGTTCGTGAGTCATGGATAGCCTTGTAAATAAGTAAACACAATTTTCCAGCCCAGCAAGTACACCTGTGAGGTATTTACTGGCACGGTAGAATCTATATTCTATCCCATCTTCGCTGCAGCTCCCAGAGTGACCCCTTGTCATGTCCTACGTGCAGAAGTTATTGACTCTTTGCAAGGTCCCCTTAGGTCTGTCAGTGCAGTTTACACTTCTGCCGGCTGGGTCTTGCTTGGATTTAGTGATTCTCAAGCATCAACACTGCCATCCTCGGTTCTCCCTGGTTTCCATCGGGGTCCTCCCGAGGCATTCGTAGTCAGCCAGAGGATTTAAGATTTGGTCGTAGTAGGGCTCATCTCCCTCATCCATTGTCACTCATTTGCCTGAAGATCTTTCCATGGCTCTTTTGACTTTCCACATCCTTCCTAGGACAAAACCAAAGCAGTCTGCTGCTGAATATTGTGATCTAGGAAACTATAAAATGCCCCACTATGGAGCTGCATAGCCAGATATAAAAAATATTATTATAAAGCCACAATGATTAAAATATCATGATAGTAATTAGTTCACTGGAATAAGCTAGGACACTGAGAAAAAGAGTCTGGATATATAAGAATTTAGTATGTGAGAAAGAGGACATTTCAGATCAGTGAGGGAAGACCCTTCCATAAATGATGCTGGTCAGCTCCCTAGAAGAAGGACGAAATCAGATCCTTATTTCACACTTTATACCAAAATAAGTTCCAGGGGGATTAAAGAGCTAAGTGGGAGAATGAAACTGTGAAAGGATTAGAAGAAAATGCAGGTGAGGATTGATTTGATTTCAAGGAAGGAAAGGTGTATCGTTAAGTATAGCTGCAAAAGAAGAAACTATAAAGGAGAAGATTAAGGGATTTGGTTACATAAAACTTTAAAACCTTTGTGTCAAAAGTGATTATAAGCCAAATGAAAACATGATTGATAAACTGGGAATATGGTTATACCCAGTTACAGTTAATAGATACTTTTTCTTAACATATAGAGTTTTTATAAATAAAAGGCAAATATCACAATGAGCAAACAGCAGGAACGAACAATTCACAAGATATACAAATAACTAAAAATCATGTAAAAAAAAATGTTTAGCATCAGTACTAATCAATGAAATGCAAATCCAAACAATAGGGAAAAGATGTTGAAGAGTTAATGCCTAGCACAGATAAGAGACACGGGAAGGAGCAGGCTCATGCTCTGATGGTGGGAGGGTAAATTGGAAGACAATTTGGAAACGGGTTAAAAGTCTTTAGGCTGGCCATAACACTTCTAGAACTTTCCCTAAAGAAATAATCAGATTGCACTAATATTTATGTGTGAGAATGTTTATTTCAGCCTTGTTTATAATAGTGAAAATTTAGAAGCAATTTACATGTCAAAAAAACAGGAAATCAATTCAATGAATTATTGTATATGCATAGGATAGTAAACTACATAGCTATTAGATTTAGATCTGATATTATAGAAGAAGCATAATCAGGCAAATACTTAAGGTATATTCAGTGAGAACGAAGTTTAGCAAGCAGAGTATAGCGTTCCATATCAATTTTGTGAAAGAAAAGCAAGACTGGACAGATTAAATGTCAACAATGGATGGTTCTAAGTGGTGCAGTTCAGGGTGGGGAGTTGACTGTTGACTTCTATTTTTTTGTCGGTGCTTTTACGTACTTTACTTTTTTTTTTTTTAATATTGAACACAGATTAGTTACGTTATCTGGACAAAAAGGTATATGTTTTTGAAAAACCTTTACCCAGAGAGTTCTTTCAGAGAAACTCAGAACTCAAAAGTCATAAAGTCAAAGAACAACCAATTTAACCACACAGATATTTTTTAAGCTTCAGTGTGGACGTTATAAACAAAGTTGAAAGACAGGTGACAAACTGGGAGAAAACAATTGCCATATTTATAACAGAGAAAAAGTTAATACTCCTAATATAAAAGCTCCTACAGAAAGACAATCCAACAACAAAAGGCAGAGGGCTTGAACAGACAAGTGAAAGAAAAGGCTATATAAGGTAAGAATCATGAAATTATGTAAAATCTCACCAGTTATCAAGGAAATAAAAATTAAGACAATAGTGAGATATTTTTTCTCTATTATGCTGGAAAAATTTCAAGATTGCAAATATCTAGTGTTGGCAAACAAATGGGATAATCTTGCTCACGTACTGGTAATGGAAGTGCAAATTGGTACAGCTTTTTTGGAGCATCATTCGGCTGTACCTATCACATGTTAAATACACAAACTGTTTGCCCTAGCAATTGCCCTCCTTAGAAACCTGTACTAATAAATACACAATGCTTAAGGATATGTGGGTAAGTTGATTCATTTTCCAGGATTGTTTAGAGTAGGAGGAAAATGACAAATGTCCATCAACAGGAGGATAGTGTGAAACTGCTAAAAACAATAAAGTAGGTCTATGTATACAGTAACACAAAGGAGAGTCCTTGCTACATCGTTGAGTTGAAACAGCTGTGTTTACAACAGTATGTTATGTTTCCCTTTTATTTTAAACATCATGTGTGTATTTCTTTATATATGCATGTTTGTGTATAATTGTACTATGTGTGTGTGTAAATAACATTTGTTTATGTGTGTGCATATATAAAACATAAATATATGCACATATGTGTATGTATATATGAAAAATATATATATATTTGTATAGGTCTGGAAAAATGTCTGGGAGGATATGTATACCGAACTTCTTTAACAGTGGTTAGGAGTGAAGAAACACTCACTTTTTGCTATCACACTTCTGTATTGTTTGTTTGTTTCCAAAGGGCATGAACAAACTTAGCAACGAAAATAATAAAAAATCTAAAAAGAGAACAATTTATAACTCTTCCGTACCACCCCCAACCCAAAACCAAGCCCACTGCCATCAAGTTGATTTGGACTCATAGCAACCCCATAGGACAGAGTAGAACTGCCCCCCCAGGGTTTCCAAGGCTGTAATCTTTAAGGGAACAGATCACCAGGTCTGTCTGCTGTGGAGCGTCTGGTGGTTCGAACCCTGGACCTCTTGGTTAGCAAGTATCTCCCTGCCCGCACACCCGGAAACTGGGGCTGGGAACAGAAAGCACTGCATGGAGGCAGCTGGGCATCGTAGTAAGCAGCAACCTAGAGGCCTTAGGTCTAACCCAAGTTCTGTGTTTGACTTGCTGTGTGCCCTTGGGTAAGTCACTTTACCTCTCTGGGTTCTGCCAGTTCCACCTCCTCAGTTGTTTTGCTGGATCATTCCCTCCCTGTAATTAACAACTGAAGGAGCCCTGGTTGCACAGTGGTTAAAGTGATCCACTGCTAACCAACCAAAAGGTCGTCAGCTGGAAACCACCAGCAGCTCTGAGGGAGAAAGATGTGGTAGTCTGCTTTTGTAGAGATTTACAGCCTTGGAAAGCCTATGGGGTCGCTATGAGTTGGAATCAACTCGCTGGCAGTGGGTTTCATTAACAATTGAGCAGACATTCATGACGGAGGGGCTGTCCGGGGTTCGGAGCAAATGGACCCTCCCCCCCAGCCCTGGCTTTACAGAGGACTTCAAAGGAGACCCCTTAGGTAACTCATGTCTCATTTCCTGAGAACCAGGGGTAGAAGCCCCTGCGGGGAGGAGTTGGAGGGCACTGCAGAGAGAGGAGGCTGGGGGTGAGGGCAGGCGCGGCAGGGCCCAGGGGACATATGGGAGTCCTGTGACGAGGTCTCCCCCTTCTCCCTGCAGGATCGTATGTGAGATGGGGGAGGCCAAGCCCAGTCAGCACGCCGGCTTTGTGGAGATCTGCGTGGCTGTGTGTCGGCCCGAGTTCATGGCCCGCTCCTCGCAGCTCTACTACTTCATGGTGAGTTTGGGCCACAGCGGACAGCGCAGTCCAGACCTCCTTACCACCATGCTGGGCCCTTTATACCTCTGTGGGCAGACCCAGGGCAACGGGCCCCAGGCAAGCCTTTCCTGTCCTTCTGGCTCCTCCATGCCTGTGGGGGTCCTGTTCTCCAGAGGGAGGCTGAGGACCAGGCTGTGAGGCCACATATGCTCGGGAGGGGAGTGTGGGCTGTGCACGGACTTCAGGATTAACTGGGTGAACTTGGGCAAGTTACTTTTTCTGTGTCTCAGTTTCTTCGTTTGTAAAATAGGGATAATAATAGCACCTACACTGTAGGGTTGTTGTGAAAATTGCATAAAATGTTTGTTACTTCTAGTATCATTCCTTTTACTATTTACACAATCCCTGCCATCCCTGCACCCTGCCTTGAATCTCATGACCCCACAGCTCGCCAGCACACCGCCCAATCCATCTCCTGCTTCCCACACCCCTACTCCCACCCCCATGCCTCTTGTCCTGAGCCCTCTCCCCATCCTCTGGCCTCTGCACACCTCATCCTAGTCCTGCCCTTCCCTCTACCCTGGGCCCTCCGTGCCTCCCCAGCAGGGGGTCTTCCCTCCCCCCACCCAGCCTTGTGATAACCAGGATGCCGTTCTGAGTCATTTTCACAAGTTTCACCATCCGATTAACTTCTCAGGTTAATGACAGTTGTGATGGACAATTTCCTTATGAGTCGAGCTGCCATGGAAAGCTGGGAGCCTGGCCCACCCCGCCTAGCCAACGCTATCTCTCGAGCTTGCTTTCGCGTGGCCTGGCCCTTTGGCCTTTCGGATCTCCTTTCCCTGGTTGCACCAAGCCATGTTCTTCGTCCCTCAAAGCCCTGCCCACGACCCGCTCCCGCTTCTGTGGCTGGCCACCCCCGCTTCATGAGACGCTGCTGCCCATGCACTCAGTGTCCCCTGTCTGTGTCCCTGCTCCCTCTGGCAGACCTAGAAGTCTTTGGAGATGAAGCCTAGGAGTTCTGGGATTGTGTATGTGTTTAATATAATATATTCTGATTTTTAAAGCAGTTTTAGGTTTACAGACAATTGTGCAGAAAGTACAGAGAGTTCCCATATATCCTTCTCCCCTCTCCACTCTTTCTCCTACTATTCACGTCTTGCATTTCTGTGGTGCATGTGTTAGAGTTGATGAACCAGTGCTGAATCGTTATTATTAACTGAAGTCTGTAGTTTGCATCAGGGTTCACTGTGTTGTACAGTCCTACGGGTTTTGACAAATGCATATTGTCAGGTATCTGCCACGACAGTATCATACAGAAGATCGCACTGGCCCAAAAATGTCCTGTGCTCTGCCTGTTCATTTCTGACCCCCAATCTCTGGCAACCCCTGGTCTGTTACTGTCTCTACAGCTTTGCCTTTTGCAGAGTGTCATATGGATGGAATCATGCAGCCCAGGGCTTTTATTTCTCTGCTAGCTCCATAGCGCCTAGGCAGTTCTAAACCTTGACTACACATTCAACTCCTCTGAAGAGACTAAGTAGTCCTGAGATTAATGGACGGGGTCATAGCATAAGCATTTCAAAAGGCTCTGTGGTGATTGTCATGTGCTTCCTGGCTGAGGCCTACTGACCTAGGAGCAACGCGAGGCTGACACGGTGGACATTCTGCTCTCAGGGAGGCTTGCTCTTGCTCACATGATTGTTTCCACCCTGGAGTGGGATGTGGTCGCACCTGGGCATTAAGGGGAGGCTTTGTGCAAGAGGCAGGCTGGAAAGGCGGGAAGCAGAAGGAAGAATATGGTTTTCCAGATGGATCTTTGGTAGTGGGAGGCTGTTCCAGGCATAAGGTAGGACATGGAAGTACACCAAATGATGGGAACAGAGGGAGGGAGGGGAAGGGGCGGAGCGGGGGAGCAGAAGTAGGTGGGGGAAGATGAGGTGTGTGTCACAAGGCAGAAATGCACCGTCCAGTGGGTCCCAGGGCTCAGAGATGTGTGGCTTTTCTGTCTGAGGGCATCCCTGGGGAACTGCCCTACTGCCACCCGCCCACTTGGGAGGACCTCCTGGGGAGGAGCGGTGCTAGGAACCCCACCTCTCCCAGGCCGCAATTTGCATTTCAAGGTTGAAGCTCCCCCACAGAGTTCTTAGGGGTTCAGCATGGGAACGAGGGGCAGAGGTCCCATGGGTCTCGTCAGAAGTGGGGAAGAGGCAGAATTCGCCTCTATGCCGCCTCCAGCCTCTGAGTCCTCACTCCCTCCCTGCTCTGCCAGGCAGCCTGTAAGGTGGCACTTTTGGGGCCCACACAGAAGCCAGGGGCCCATTTGGAGTCTTGAAATAGCTGGGGAGCCCTTCTCTTGGGATTCTCCGGGGACTGGGGCTTGTTGGGGAGCGCCTCCCCAGGGCTCCTTTGGGAACTGGGGGGAGGTCGGGGAGCCCCTCCTAGTGCCGAGGTTAGGGACAGGGTTTGGATCTCCCTCTACAGACTCTAATCTGTGGGTTTCTTCACCCAAAGCCCATACGCCAAGGCCTAGGGGGCCCAGATCCCCACTGCCCTGTCATCAGCTCTGCCCTGGAGGTCTCTGTGGAGGGACAGCCACTTTCCCCCTCCCTCTTCCTCCATGCCGGGAGCAAAGGGAAGGAGTGGTAAATCACGCGGAGCCGGCTTCCTGTGCAAACCAACCGTGCAATATTTATGAAGCATGACTTGAATAATTAATAGTTTCTCACAACTTTAAAATATGTCTTCACAACATCTTCTCCTCTCCCCCAGAATAACACGCCCCCACCCACCCAGGGAGCCCTCAAACAGCAGCAAACAGCGAAGGCAGCAGGGATTATTATTACTGCTTCACTTTCTAAACCCCCACCGCAGGCTGCCAGACTCCAGCTCTATTACACTTGATTCCTTTCCACATCGCCCCACCCCACACCTGCTTCCCTGGGTGTCTTAGAGTTCCCTGGCCTTGACAGGATCTCCAGGGCAAGCCCTGCCTAGCAGTCTGTGTGCACAAGGGTACTCACGTGCACTCACGAACACACACACACACACACACACACACACATACACACACACACACACGCTTTCCCAACTCACTTTCCCTCCTCCTTTGGGAGGTCAGCCAGCCCAGGTCAGAAAGCCTTCCCTTTAGACACCTTGAGGCAAAGGCACCATTTGGAAAGGTTTGTAAGGAGTTACAGAACAAGAAAACTGTCAGGGGCTTTGAGATAACCGGGTTTTTTTCGGGCTCAGCCCTGATCTTATGACCAGAGAGGTTAAGTGACTGCTCCAGAGTCACACTGTGCGATCTAGCCAAGCTGAGAGGATGCTCCTCCGCAGCCTACCGCCCCGTCTGGCCTCCTGCTGAGCAAGTGCAGAGCCGGGTAACAAGCCGCTCCCACAGAGACCAGGCGCCAGCCGGTGGCCCGGCCGCCGGGAGGCACGGCAGGCCTGGGTCCCCAGAGGTCGGGAACACGCCTGCGCCAGGCTCCTGGGTCAGCGCGTACCCGCCCGTGTGCCCGCCACGCTTGTGCCCACCGTACGCGTACCTATGTGTGTGTGCCGCCGCGCGTGCGCCCATGCTTATGCCTGCCGTGCGCGTGCCCGTGCGTGTGTGCCCGCCGTGCGCGTGCCCATGCGTGTGTGCCCGCCGCCCTTGTGCCGCCGCGCGTGTGCCCATGCTTATGCCTGCCGTGCGCGTGCCCATGCGTGTGTGCCCGCCGCGCTTGTGCCATCGCGCATGTGCCCGCTATGGAAGGCGGGACGCGCCCTCGTGGGGCCCTTCTTCTCCCTGGAGGTCCCATCGATCTAGGCTGCCGCCTGAGTAGCCGAGAGGGTTCAAGTCATGGAGCAGCATTCTTCAGGCAAGGGGCTGGGGAGGGGGGAAATCTTCATTTAAATGCTGATCCAGGCTTCTCGCCTGGGACTGAGGAAAGTTTTTCTATTAAAATGCTAATGAACTGCAACTCCAAATCCGAGGGAACAGGATTTCTCCTACCCCCGCTTCCCCCCCACCCCACCAGCCCCTACTCCTCACTCTCCTCTTTCTAGCCAGGGGCCATGACCGGGAATAAAAAAAAAAAACCAAACCCGTTGCCAACCTGTCAATTCCAAGTCATAGTGACCCTGTAGGACACCGTAGAACTGCTCCATAGGGTTTCCAAGGAGCAGCTGGTAGATTTGAACTATGGACCTTCTGGTTAGCAGCCAAGTTCTTAACCACGTGCCATCAGGGCCCAGGGGCCTGGACAGGTCTTTGGAATATCTCATCCTTCCGTGCTTTGCCCCTGGATTTCCCAGGGGCTCTCACACCCATTGCTCTGTCCAGTGGGGGCTCTGGCTTGCTCTCCGGAAAGGCCCATGCAAGGGACAAGTTGCTTTCCTGAAAGAGCCAAGAACTGGAGCTCTGGGCTCAGACCTCCCTTATGTTCTTAAAGCTGAGTGACTTTGGAAAACTTACTTAACATGTCTGAATCGCATCTGTAAAATCGATGATAAGACCTGCCTAGTAGAATTGATGGAGCCCTGGTGGTACGGTAGTTAAGAGCTTGATAGCTGTTTGAATCCACCAGCCATTCCTGGGAAACCCTATGGGGCAGTTCTACTGTGTCCTGTAGGGTTGCTATGAGTCGGAGTCGACTGGACAGCAATGGGATTTGGGTTTTTGGTTTAGTAGTAGAACTGTTAAGAGCCCGGCTGCTAACCAAAAGATCAACAGTTCAAATCCACCAGCCGCTCCTTGAAACCTTATGGGGCAGTTCTACTCTGTCCTATAGGGTCGCTATGAGTCGGAATTGACTCTACAGCAACGGGAAAGAACCGATAACCAAACAAACAACAACAAAACCCATAGCTGTTGAGTCATAGTGACCCTGTAGGACAGAGTAGAACTGCCCCATAGAGTTTCCAAGGCTGTAGATCTTTACGGAAGCAGACTGCCACATCTTTTTCCCAAGGAGTAGCTGGTGGGTTCAAACCAGCAACCTTTTGGTTAGCAGCAGAGTGCTTAACCACTGCACCACCAAGACTCCTTAGAATTGATAAGGAGATTAAACTATATATATTATCTCCTTAACAGTCTCCTTATATATATATGGCAGTTTGCTTCTGTGAAGATTTACAGCCTTGGAAACCCTATAGGGTAGTTCTACTCTGTCCTATAGGGTCGCTATCAGTTGGAATCCACACGACAGCAGCAGATTTAGTTTTTGGGTATGTATATACATGTAATTCTATAGAATAGATTTTAAAAAAAAAAGTTGTTGTTGAATAGTGCCATGGACTGAATTGTTAGCCCCAGAATGGGTGTCAACTTGGCTAGGCCATGATTTCCAGTGTTGTATGGTTGTTCTCCATTTTGTGATCTGATGTAATTTTCCTATATGTTGTAAATCCTAATCTCTGCCTGCGGTTAATGAGGCAAGATTAGTTATGTTAAAGAGGATTAGGATGGAATGCAACACCCTTACTCAGGTCACAGCCCTGAGTCATGTAAGGGGAGTTTTCCTGGGCTATGGCCTGGATCACCTTTTATCCTATAAGAGATAAAAGGAGAGAGAAGCAAGCAGAGAGATGGGGACCTCATGCCACCGAGAAAGATGTGCCAGGAGTGGTGCACATCCTTTGGATCCAGGATCCCTGTGCTGAGAGGCTCCTAGACCAGGGGAAGATTGATGACAAGGGCTTTCCCTCAGAGCCGACAGAGTGAGAAAGCCTTCCCCTGGAGCTGGTGCCCTGAATTTGGACTTACAGTCTTCTAGACTGTGAGAGAATAAATTTCTATTTGTTAAAGCCACCCACTTGTGGTATTTCTGTTATGGCAGCACTAGATGACTAAGACAAGTAGACTCTGACTCATGGCGACCCAATGTGTGTCAGAGTAGAACTGTGCTCCATAGGGTTTTCAGTGGCTGATTTTTGGGAAGTAGATCACCAGGCCTTTCTTCTGAAGAGTTCTGGGTGGACTTGAACCTCCATGCCTTCACTTAACAACCAAGCACTTTAACTGTTTGCACTACCCAGGAAGTCCATATAATATATATATACGTGTATATATTATATGTATAATATATAACATTAACATGAACCAAACCCATTGCCATTGGGTAGATTCCAACTCATAGCGACCCTGTAAGACAGAATAGAACTGCCCCCATAGGGTCTCCAAGGAAAGGCTGGTGGATTCCAACTGCTGGCCTCTTCGTTAGCAGCCAAGCTGTTAACGACCGCACCACCAGGGCTCCAATATTAACATACTCTATATAAATGATATAAGTGCATATAGATACATAGATTGCTCAGTGGTTAAGAACTTGGCTGCTAACCAGAAAGTTGGCTGTTTGAATTCACCCACCGCTCCTTGGAAACCCTGTGGGGCAGTTCTACACTGTCCTACAGGGTCGCTATGAGTTGGAATCGACTTGACAACACTGGGTTTGCTTTTGGTTTTTGGTATGAAGATACAAAGCCTGACAATTAAAAAGCCAGTAAGCATATAGCAGTGGTTATTACTGTTGTTAATATAGACATGCCAACTCTCGGGGTCTAGAACGTGGCTTCTTATACAAGCCTAAGAAAACTGTGCAGGCTTTCTGGGAGGCCGCCATTGCTAGATTCCAGAATGGCTTCAGGGGAGTGGGGTGCTGTCCCTGGCCTTCCCAGAAGCCTTGCCCCTCCCGGTTGGGTCTCACCCCAGACCCTTTCCCACACAGACGCTGACTCTCTCTGACCTGAAGCCCAGCCGGGGACCCATGTCTGGGGGCACCCAAGTGACCATCACGGGCACCAATCTGAACGCTGGCAGCAATGTGGTGGTGATGTTTGGGAAGCAGCCCTGCCTCTTCCACAGGTAGCCCCGCGGGAGGCCCTTTTCTGCAGCTCGAGGGAGGGGAGGGTCAGACAGGTAGTCATGTCAGGGCTGGCCTGGGTGTCAGGAGTCGCCAAAGGCAGGCCTTCCCAGCCTAACCCCTTGGAAGTACTTTCTCCTCCTTCCTGAGAGAGAAAGGGGGCCTTCTTTTTGGAGAGGGCTTTCCAGGCATACCTGTGCTGACCTGGCTCAGAATGGAGGCCTGTAAGCACACTTCCCCTGGATGGGCCTCCATTTACTTTGGTGCCCCCAACCCCCCCCTCAGAACCCCAGGCTTCCACAGAACACTGGAGTCGACCACCAGAACCCCTCACCCTGGGTCAGCCTCTCCCCCACTGCAGAGCCAGTTGGGGTGACTGGGAGCCTAGAGGAGCAGCTCCCCCCGGCTGTGGCTGGGCCTCCAAGGGCTGGCTCCCTGGGTCCCACCACCACCCCTGGAAGTGCACCTCTGTGAGCCGAGGGGATGGATAGGAGGGGCAGGAGGGGCTGCGTGGACACTCAGAGATGTTGGGAGGGATGCTTCCTCAGCTGAATGAGGTTCTCTAGAGCGAGGTTTTCCCGGAGGGACCTGTGCTGAGGGCCGTGACAGGTCAGCTGGGCCGGACCTTGGGTTAGGCATTCTCAGAGCTCCGTACCTGAGGCTGTGCTCACCCATTGCCCTTGAGGGGGCACAAGGAGGAGGGGCATGGGGCACCCTAACCCACAACCCTGTCCCTCCTCAAGAGCCAGGAGACCAGTGCCGTCTTCCTTCCCTGCAGGCGATCCCCATCCTACATCATCTGCAACACCACGTCCTCAGAGGACGTGCTGGAGATGAAGGTGATGGTGCAGGTTGACAGGGCCAGGATCCACCAGGACCTGTTCTTCCAGTACGTGGAGGACCCCACCATCGTGCGGATCGAGCCCGAGTGGAGCATCGTCAGGTAGGAGCGACCCATGCACCACTGCTTCCAAGGAACGTTCTGGTGCCCACTCCTGCTTTGGGGGATAATGGAGTGGGATTGGTTCAGAACATTTCCCCAGTCCAAAGTCCTGCCTTCCGGGGCTCTCTCCTTCCCCAAGAGCTCCTCAGAAGAAGACCTGGCCCTGAAGAACAAGCTCTGACCCACAAGAGCCCCCATCCCCCATTCGAGGGTTGGAGAGTGCACTTGGAGACCTATTCCCACCCCTCCCACAGTGACCAGGCATAGGGGACAGTTCTGCTCCCTAAATCACACTTCTGGCAAATGTGGGTAATAGCTCCCATCTGCCTTCAGGCTGAGGGATGTGGGAGAAGGGGAAAGGTCACGTCCAAATTATGCTGCTCCAGAAGAAAAGCCTGTCCTGGCCACCCAGGTCCACCCTCTGTGCTTCCAGAACCTCCTGGCATCCCTTTTTCTGGGCTCTGGTGGTCTCCAGTTGCCTGCTTATTTCTGTCCATCCCTCTACTGCAAACTGAAGGGCAGGAGCGGGTCCTGTTCCTCCTTTCCCAGTGCCCAACATGAATGCTGGATGAATGTCCTAGAAGGAGGAGACCAGGTATTCGGTGCTGGTATAGGAAGCCCTTGGGCTGGGAGTGCTGGTTCCAGCTCAGCCACTCACAGGTGACTTGAGCAAGTAGCTTAATCTTTCTAGGCCTCGACTTCTATATCAGTACACCTGCTGATATCTCTTTTAATTTTTATTAATAAACTTAGATTTTTAGAGCCATTTTAAGGTTACAGATAAATTATGCAGAAAGTACAGAGAGTTCCCATATACCCTTTCTCCTCCCCCGCACACTATTCCGTGTTATTAACGTCTTGCCTTCGTGTGGTGTATTTGCTACAGTTGATGAACCAATATTGATCCATTATTATTAACTGAAGTCCACAGGTTACATCAACGGGCACTCTGTGTGTTGTACGGTCCTGTGCGTTTTGACAAATGCGTCATGTCCTGTGTCCGCCGTTACAGTGTCATATGGAATAGTTTTACTGTCCTGTGCTCCACTTATTCATCGCTCTCCCACTGGAATCCCTGGCTCCGTTGGCCTTTTCACTGACTCTGCAGCTTGGCCTTTTCTAGAATGTCCTGTAGTTGGAATGATACCATGGGGAGCTTTTCTCCCCTAGGGGTTTGTCAGCTCCCAGATCTCTTGGGACCCTAACAACCCTGGATTGTGTGTGTGTGTGTGTGTGTGTGTGGGGGGCAGGGTGGTGGCGGGTGTCTCACATCAGGGCCGAGCTTTGGGCAGACAGCCTGAATCGGCTTTTCCAGGCCCTGGAGACACAGGATTGGGGAAAGCCCTACAGAAGGCGTACTGGCAGCAGGGCCCATGGCTACGTATCAACAGCAGCTGGGGGATGGCCGCAAGGGCTTGGGGTCAGCCAGCTCCACCACTCCCCAGCGCAGGCACAGTGGAAGTTCCTTAACCTCCCTGGGTCCGGTGTTTCTCGTCTGTCGTCTCCCTCACAGGCGGCTGAGAGAAGCCAGCAAGATGCACACACACAGTACAGGGCCTGGCTTAGTTTCCTGCCCCCTTCCTGTTCCCTCTGACCACTCGGAGAGGCCTGCTCAGTCCTGGGTCCTTCCCCTGCCATCCCCCCTGCCATGTCGGCTTCAGCTGAGGAGAGGCCCAGGTTGGGGGAGAGGGAGCGTAAAGAAGTGGTCTCCACAGGCTGAGGCAGGGGAAAAGTCCAGTCCAGAGAAGCACCCTTAAAACCAGGGGTCAGCAGACCACGGGCCACATCTGGCTGGCTGCCTGTTTTTGTAAATAAAGCTTTATTGGAACATAGCCATGCCCGTTCATTGACATATCGTCCATGTCCATATTTTGGTCTACAGGGGCAGAACTGAGAGCCCACATCGACTGCAAAGCCTAAAATATCTACTGTCTGGACTTTTACATAAAAGGTTTGCCAACCCCTCCCAAATGAAAGGCAACCTTTGCCTGCTCAGATGGAGACTTGATTGCTCTTGGCAGTTCCTTTGCAAGGCCCAAGTATTAGAAGTTTAGCCATGATCTTAAACCAGATGAGGAATATAAGGCACAGAGAGGGGGAGATAATCTGTAAGAAGCTATACCAGGATTTGAACCTGGGGCCTGGGTAGCCCCAGAAGTTAGCCTAGCCCCTGTGCCTCAGCCCACAAACTGTGCAACAGCCTGAGGAACTCACAGCCTGGTTTAATTCTGTTCCTGCTCATGGCACAGTGACAGAGATGGAGGTGTCAGCCTCCCAGCACTCTGTGGCCGACCCCGAGTCATGCTCCCATCCTCAGGGAGGCTGGGGACCCGTCTGGGGCTGCCAGCCAGCTCCAGCATGTTTGCTTAGGTTAAAGTCTGAGAATGGAGTGGGTTTGCATCATGAGTGGCTTTACGTTGCTTACAGACAGCCTGGAGCACTGGGCTGCCTAGTAAGCAGTGACAGGGCCCTTGATACAGGTGTGTGGGATCCATGACTAAAGAGGCGGGGAAGAGGACGGGGCTCCAGGGCTTCCCCTCCAACACTGCATGAGCAGAAGGATGCCTCTGGGTGTCCAAGAATCTTCCTGAGTGTGTGTGTGTGTGTGCTTGTGTACGTGTGTGTGCATGTGTGAGTGTGCGTGGGAGAATAGCTGGGAGTGTAAAGATAGGCAGATGGGTAGGTGGATCAGTGGGTGGAAATGAACGTGGGGTCAAGGATTCTCTAGACCCACCAAGCTTTTGACTGAGTTACTGAAACCTATTTCAGGTAGCAGGACTCCCCTCAAAGACGTTCCCTTGATTGTGGATGAGGTCTCTCCAAGGAAGGTGCACCCATGGGGCATCCCTCCTCCCCGCCCCCAATGCCAGCTTCCTGACGGCCCTGAGGACAGGGAAATGGCACCCAGGGGTTCCGTGAAAGCTCTACACAGACTGTCTCTTGACCCCTCCCCATCAGAGCCCCGGAGCACTTTGCACTTGCCTTCCCAGAGAGGGACTCCTGAGAGCCCGGGTCTCTGCCCTTCCCAGGTCTCAGCCTGCTCGGAGTCCCCAAGGTGACCATTTGTAGTGTGTCTGTCCTTCCTTCTTAGTGAAGGGACTGGCCTGGGCAGGGGTTGGGGGCAGACTCCGCCCCTCTTGGCAACCATCTGGAGCAAGATTTCCTTTAGGGCCAGGCCAAGTGAAAAAAGGCCCCTGAGACTGGCAGGGCCTGGAGGGAAGAGACGCCAGGGGACTGGAGAAGTGGAGGCCTGGGAGACCCAGGGGGTCATGCTGGAGACAGGGCCTCCCCAGGGTCCACCTGCAAATGCAGCCATGGCCATCCTGTCTCCCCCTTGACTGCTGAGAACGTGCGTCCTTTATATTCCATCAGCTTATTATCATGGTCCCCAGGACCATGGTCATTATCATTGTTGTCACTGATGCCATTGCTTGTCCTACCCCAGTGATTCGCACCCCTTCTTCTCTCTTCCTGACCAGTGGGAACACACCCATTGCTGTGTGGGGGACACACCTGGACCTCATACAGAACCCCCAGATCCGGGCCAAGCATGGTGGGAAGGAGCACATCAACGTGAGTCCAGGCTGCCCGGAGGCCTGGGGCTGCCCGCCCAGGGTGGGCTTCCTAAGGGTTACAGCAGGGGCCCCCATGAACTGATGGCCCCCTGTGCGCACCCCACATGCTGGGAGGTGGGGCTGGGAGCAGACACGAGCATTTTCACACCTTGGGGTATGGGCGTGGAGGAGCAATCACTTCTGGGGCTTCCCCTCCACCCCTTGACCCCAACTGCTACTCTCTGGCTTGGACAATACCCTAGTCACCCCATACGTGCTCGTAGTGAAACCAGAGGTGGGTGATGCCACCGAGCTGCTTCCCTGGTGTCGACTGCATGTAATGTTGACTGCACCCTGGAGACAGGTCCCCCCGTCGGTGCTATGGGCGTGCAGACCTGCCGCAGAGCCTCACAGCTGTCCCTCTGGCTTCTCCTGCAGATCTGTGAGGTCCTGAATGCCACCGAGATGACCTGCCAGGCCCCGGCCCTCGCCCTGGGGCCCGACCACCAGTCCGACCTGACTGAGAGGCCCGAGGAGTTTGGCTTCATCCTGGACAATGTCCAGTCCCTGCTCATCCTCAACAAGACCAACTTCACCTACTACCCCAACCCAGTGTTTGAGGCCTTTGGTCCCTCAGGGATCTTGGAGCTCAAGCCTGGCACACCTATCATCCTGAAGGTAGGGTGGGGCGGGGAGGGAAGGTAGAGGAGGGGGAAAGGGTCCCAGTCACTGGCCCTACAAGGTCTCATGACTGGCATCCCTAGCTGAGATTGTGTGATAGCCAGAATATGACAGACGCTGCCTTTGAGTGCACACTGGGAAGAAAACACCCTGCAGACCATGATCACAGCAGCCAAGAGACATCTGGCCAGCTGACTGCCATCTTTGGTCATCCCCAGAATCCAGGAACTGGGGAGTCACAGGCCCACACTCCTTCCTCCTGTGCAGCCCCATGCAGACACAGCTCAGAGTTCCTCTGGAGCACGGACAGCAGATTAATTTTAATTCACGTGCCTGTTTGGATCAGCCAATCGTGAGGGACTACGACTCTGTGTTGAGAGGATTCTGAGGCTGCATTTGGGACAGGCTGGAAAGAATGCCTTGATTAGTAGTGACTTCTGACTGGGAGGAAGGGGATGGGGTAGTAGACATGCCATGGATTTTCAGGACTCATTACTAAAGGCGGCCTTTCCACAGCTCACCAGCAGGGTGGGACCTTCAGGTAGGGGACAGGGCTGCCTGCCAGTGCCTGGGGTCCTGAGCCTGGGCTGGGCACTGGGGTTTCCTGTCGGCGCAGGGCAGGAACCTGATCCCGCCGGTGGCTGGGGGCAACGTGAAGCTGAAGTACACGGTGCTGGTCGGGGAGAAGCCGTGCACCGTGACTGTGTCCGACGTGCAGCTGCTGTGCGAATCTCCCAACCTCATCGGGCGCCACAAAGTGATGGTGAGGCTGGCGGGCTGGGCCTGGGCAGGTGTGGGGTGCAGCACGGGGTGCCCAGGCCCACTGAGCCCCTGGGGCTCTGCAGGGTGGGATTTGGGTTGCCCCGCACGTGCCTCCTAGCTACTCGCCACCCCTAACTCCTTCTCCCTGCCCCCTTCCGAGCTTCTCTCTTCTGAACGGTCATTCTGTCCATACTGTCTGGCGCTACAGTGCAAGGCAGCATTCAATGAAGTGCGAAATCGTCTGCTATGGGCAAGAGGGCCCTCACGGCGAGGCTGCTGGTGGCCGGGCAAGGGCCGTGCATCAAACTCTGTGTCTCAGTCACATCTCGACAGTGGGGATGTGTGTTGGGGGCCTGTCCCTGACGTCCTGGGGCTGGTTTCAGCCCAGTGTGCGCTGTTTCTTGTGAGGACGACACGGGGCGGGGCTCCTGCCTCAGAGGTGCGGTTCTCCAGGTGTGCGGTGCCGAGACACCATCCCCCCAGCCCCATGCACCCCGTGTCTGTTTTTACAACGAACATCCCACCCAGGTCCTCAGTTGCTCAGTGACTTGGATCAGACCCCATGCTGTGCTCCCCCCCCAACACCCGTGTGCCCCCAGGCCCGAGTCGGCGGCATGGAATACTCCCCGGGCATGGTGTACATCGCGCCCGACAGCCCGCTCAGCCTGCCCGCCATCGTCAGCATCGCCGTGGCTGGCGGCCTCCTCCTCATCTTCATTGTGGCGGTTCTCATCGCCTACAAGCGCAAGTCCCGAGAGAGCGACCTCACGCTGAAGCGCCTGCAGATGCAGATGGACAACCTGGAGTCCCGCGTGGCCCTGGAGTGCAAGGAAGGTACGAGCGGCCGGATGGCCAGAGCGCCGTGCTGGAGGCTGGGCTGCCACTTAGTGTGTGTGGGGGTGAGTGCGTGTGTGAGTGTGCACGTGGGGGTGTGAGAGTGTGCACGTGAGTTTGATAGAGTATGTGGGTGTCTGTGTGAGTGTGAGCGTGTGTGAATGTGAGTGTTAGAGTTTTTGTGAGAATGAGTGTGTGGGTTTGGGTGTGAGAATGTGTGAGGGTGTGGGTTGTGAGTGTAGGTATAAGTGAGGCTGTGAGCGTGTGTGTGACTGAGAGTGTGTGAGGGTGTGAGTGTGAGGATGAGTGTGGATGTGAGAATGCTGGTTGAGTATGGATAAGTGTGAGTGGGATGTGTGTGTGGGTTTGAGTGTGTATGTGTATATGAATGTAAGTGTGTGGGTCTGAGTGTATAAGTTTGGGTGTGGGTGTTGTGTGAGTATGGGCGTGTATTGTGTATGAGTGTTGTGAGTGTGAGAGTGTGTGTGAATGTGAGTGTGATGGTGTGAGAACGAGTCTGTGAGTAGGAGTGTGAGGGAGAATGTGAGTGTCAGGGTGTGGGCAATGGGTGTGGGTGAGTGTAAGTGTGGCATGTGCCAGTGTTTGCGAGTGTGTGTATGAGTGTGTGAGCGTATGTGAGTGTTTGAATGTGAGAAGGAGTGTGTGATTGTGGCTGTGAGCATGAGTACGGATAAGTGTGAACGAGGGTGTGAGTGTGGTGTGTATGAGTGTGGGTATGAGTGTGTATGTGTATATGAATGTGAGTGTGTCTGAGTGTGTAAGTTTGGGCGCTGGTGTGTGAGTATGAGAGAGGTGTGAGTGTGGTGTGTGAGTATTGTGTATGAGCGTTGTGAGTGTGAGAATCGTTGAGTGGGTGTGAGTGTGGTGTGTGTTTGTGTGGGTGTGAGTGTGTATATGTATATCAATGTGTGTGTGTGAGTGTGTGAGTCTGGGTATTGGCTATGAGAGAGGTGTGAGTATGGCTGTATGAGTATCGTGTATGTGTGTTGTGAATGTGTGAGAGTGTGTTGAGTGGGTGTGAGTGAGTGTGTGAGTGTGTCACCCACATACAGCATCTGGGCGGCATGGGGCAGTGGGCTGTGCATTCTGCTTGCACAGGCTCTAACTCTGTGGCCTTGACCCTGGCAGCCCCAGGTCATGCTCAGGCTCCTCTCCCTGCAGGGGTCCCTCCCCTCCTTTCCCACGGCAGACTAGAATCACTTCATGTCCCTTAGAGCCACCTCCTGGCCCAGCATCCCGACTGAGCGGCCTCATGCCCGACTCCAGGGGAGACCTGGGGTGCCTTGACATGGCACATTAGTGCATCTTTGCCCTCGTCCTGAGCAGGAAGGCACGGTATGGCTGATCTGAGATTCAGAAGGAAGAATGTTTCCCTGCTTGTATTTAAAAAATTACAAACACAACCATGAAGTGAAATCAGCTGCCCCTAAATCCACAAAGGGCATGGAGGTGTCAGACTCTTGTGCGCCCCAGGACACGGTTCCGTGCATCACCCTGGGACGCTCTGCACTTTTGCTGCAGATTTACCCACGGAGTCAACCCACGGTACCTGGGCTTCCGCTCCCACCCGGGAAGCCTGGGCTGTTTGATGGGGAAGTGAATGCATTCCATCCCTCTGCCGCCTTCAGTTGTCAACACAGCATCCGCCTTGTGGGACTGTTAATTACTGCCTTTTATTGTATTTACGCTGCCTAATTTTTTTCTCCGCAACGTACTCTTCCTTCTAATTAGGTGTAGTGATGAGAATCTCTTTTATGTGTGGCAGGCATGCGGCTTTGAATGTTCGAGGCTCTCAGTGACTTAACGGGAAGCTGCAGACTGATAAAAAGCCAACTCCCTCCTTCTCCTCCCCGCCGGCTGAACACCAGCTGGGAGGGGCACGAGGGGGTGTGGAGCAGGTCCCCTCAGAAGGTTCCAGAGAAGGGGGAATTAGCAAGCAGGCAGGCATCCGGCCTGGGTGTCAGCAGACAGCCTGGGTGCTGGCGGGAAGCGGGAGGTTCACCCAGAGCACACACAGGATCAGCCAGGACAGTGATTTCCAGGGAGCCTGGGGGCACGTGGGGCAGAGCGGGGCTGGGGCAGAGTGGGGCAGGAAGTGGCTTCTCGGAGACTTTGCAGTCAGCCAGGAGGGCACCCCCACACAGCTCAGAAGAGACCCAGCTGAGGCCTTCACCAGCATGGCCTTCTGAAATAGTGATGCACACAGTCATACACTCACACATATGCACACACACTCATTTATACACATACACATGCACACATCCATACAAACATGTATACACACACTCACACGTTCTTATACACACACATACATACTCATTCACTCACATACACATACACATACACACATTCATACACACACACGCTACACCCAGATACACACTCATACACATGCACACACATACACGTTCATATACACATATACACACACATTCATATACATGCACACACATACACGTTCATATACACATGCACACACATTCATATACATACTCACATGCACACGCATTTATACTGACACACTCACATATACACACACACTGGCCCAGCATCCCGACTGAGCAGCCTCGTGCCCGACTCCAGGGGAGTGCCCAGGACGAGTGGGATAACATCTTTGCCCTGTGCAACCACCTGGGCCCAGCTGGTGTCTTGCGGCTCCATGTCCATCTGGGGACCCGAGCTGACTCCGCAGACAGCAGTCCCCACCTACCCCACCTACACGAGTGTTCATCAGGACATCTGGTGACAGTTCGTGCCAGAAAGGCTCACCCGTCCCTCTTTGACACACACACATCAGTGTAAGTTCCACCTGGATGTACCAGGGTTGCTCGACCTTGGGCCTCACATCCCACCACAAGGACACCCTGGGTAGGGATGGCCAGGGCAGAGGGGAGGGTGTGTGGGGAGAGAAGAGCTGTGGGAGAGCTTCTCAGCACCTGTCACGGTGTCAAGAGGCCACCCCCTTTTGTTCCCTCCAACAAGAGCACTGGTGTCCCATGCACAGGCCCACCAAGCCTGGCTCAGAACCCCAGGCTCCAGGCCCGAAGCCACCACTGTGGGATGAGGTGTATCTGTGGCGGCTCCCAAGCTCATCAGGAAGGGTGGGCCTGGGGCAGCAGTGCTGTGTGCATGTGGCCCTCTCAGCCCACTGGGCCTGGGCTGGCTTTCCAAGGGCCCAGAGCCACGGTGGGCCTGGGAATCCCTTCTAAGCCCACAAAGTATTTTCCCCCGAAAAGTATAACTAGAAAAAAGTACTGTCTAGCTCATGTCCACTGGCTATTCTTCTTTCCAAGGTGTGTTAATCCGTCCTGGTTGTGTGCATGTACACCTGTGTGTGTGTGCATGTGTGTGCATGAGGAGAAAGATGGAGGGGATGGATGAGCAGTGGAGGGCGGGTGGCAACACCTCTTGAGTACCTCCCAGAGGTACACACACCCTGGCAGGGACTGTGCCCAGGACATGTGTGATAACAGCTTTGCCCTGTGCAACCACCCCGGGCTGCCTGCTGGGCTCTCCTTGGGCCCAGCTGGTGTCTCATGGCTCCGTGTCCATCTGGAGACTTGAACTGACACCACAGACAGCAGTGCCCTCCTGCTTAGGTCCCTGGGGGCCTCGGTGAGGGTTCTGAGCACCGAGTAGGGGGAGCTCGGGGACCCCCATGCTCCAGCGCTCTCCCCGCCTTCTCTCTGTGCCAGCATTTGCTGAGCTGCAGACAGACATCCACGAGCTGACCAGCGACCTGGACGGTGCCGGGATCCCCTTCCTGGACTACAGAACCTACACCATGCGTGTGCTGTTCCCGGGGATTGAAGACCACCCCGTCCTCCGGGACCTTGAGGTGAGATGGCGGTGGAATGCATGTTGCTGACCCTCAAGTCCAGCCCCCATATTAGGAGGGGAGCAGGGGTAGGTGCCACCTGCCGAAGGCTCCCCAGCTTGCCAGCACCAGCCCAGCCCTCTGGGGGAGATGGAGCTGAGCCTGGGAGCCTCAGACACGAAGCAGGTCCTTGTGTGAGCACAGTCCTCTGAGCGGCAGAGGTGGGAGGGGGGTCCTGGGTCTCAGGGGGTCATGGAATGGAATGGAAGCCCCTGTCCCCAGAAAAACTCTGCAAATACATTGAAACAAGAAATCTGGCAAGCACATTTAGGGATCATGGACTCTGGTTTAAGAAACCACGATCGAATGGGTTTTACCACTTAGTTGGCGCTCAATAAATACATGTGGAAAAGGTAAGTGCTGCGTGGGGCAGAGGTGGCAGCGTGAGCGATAAAAGCACACGTCTTCTGGACCAGCAGGGACCTCGTGTCTCGAACATTTTATCCCACTTACTGTCTAGCTTCATCTCCGGCTTATGCATATATTCATAGTACACTTCGCTCCAGAAGGGATTTGGAAGAGCTTATAAAGAGACACACCAGAGAAAAACGAAGTCTAAGGGAAGAAGCCATGGCAAAATAGTCATCACGAGGGACAGTCACTAACATTGGTTGGTTTTCATCACTTCACACGCCTTCATTTACTGAACCCTCCCAAGAACCCTCGGAAGTAGGCATGCCCACTTTACAGGCGACAAAGCTAAGACACAGAGACATTCTGTCGTTGTCCAGGGACACACGGCAGTAAGGGGCGGGGCCGGGGCTGAGCCCATCCGTACAAAGCCTGCGCTCATGGCCCCCAGAATGTGCATTGGACTTCTGGGCTGTCACACTCCAGGCCCTCCTTAGGGTTCTTGTTAGGATACGTCGAAAATCTGTCGCCAAAGCAACAAAGGAGAATGAGATTAAGTGCATGGTTCACAGTGCCCGTGAAATAAAAGTAGCCCTACCGGCCAGGAGCCACGTGGTTCCCAGGTACTGACCCCAGGGGAATGCCTACGTGGGCTTTCCCGAGGAAGGGAGCGCACCATGCACCTCGGCGTGGACATAGCAGGTCCATGAAGAAGACTGTGGCTCACACACATTTCTCCATGCTTAGTTGTTGAGTGGAGCGTGTGTGTGCGTGTGTGTTTCTGTGAGTGAGGGCATGGGCATTTCTGTTTGGAGGAGACCACCCTGGCTTCCCAGCTGACTGATACCAAGAGGCACTTTCAGAGGCTGTAGGTGGTGGTCTCTATGTCCTCATGGATATGGCACCCTTTCTCTTGTCCATATATGTATACATGTGTGTATGTGAATCTATACATAGACCATCTAGACACATACATATGTATGTGTGCACATATGTGTACATAGCTCAAATATACATGTATATATGTGTGTGCAGGCATCTATACATACGCAACATATACACATGGGTATGCCAGTGTGCACGTGTATCTCTACAAACATCATGTATACACATAACAATGTTGTATGTGTCAAGGCACTTTCATCTATCCATGTCCTGGGTCTCACCCTCCCGGCTCTTCCTCCTCCTCATTCCCACTCATTTTTCTCTTTCTTTTATCCTTTCTCGGGCTTCATCTGTACTTACTGCAAAGTACCAGGGTGCTTAGCCCACTAAAGAGTGTGCAAGTTCCTGAGTACAGCAAGACACAGGAGTGATGGAAAGAGAAGACAATTCTGTGTGTGTGTGTATGAGAGAGTGTGTGTGAGTGTATTACGAGTTGTGTATGTGTGTGATAGTGTGCATGTGTGCAGTACTTGTATGAATGTGTGTGTGTGTGTGTATGCACGTGTGCAGTATTGTGTGTGAATATGTGAGTGTATATGCATGTATATAGTAGGTATGTGAGTGTGTGTGTGCAGTACACGTATGAATGTGTGTGAGGGTGTGCATGTGTATAGTATGTGTGTGTATCTGTGTCAATGTGTGAGTGTATGCATGTGTGTAGTGTGTGTGTGAATATGTGAGTGTATATTCATGTGTATGGTAGGTATGTGAGTGTGTGTGTATGCACATGTGTAGTATGTGTGTGTATCTGTGTCAATGTGTGAGTGTATATGCATGTGTGTAGTATGTGTGTATGTGTGTGAATATGTGAGTGTATATGCATGTGTGTGAATATGTTAGTGTATATACATGTGTGTACTATGTGTGTGAGTGGCATTGTATATGTAGACTGCGCCGTGGGTCAGGGACCAGATGTCACGAAGTCACTGCTGACCTCCAGCTGCCCGCAGAGGGCTCGGCACATGGAAGACATGCAAGGAATGCTGGATGGTTGACCAACTGCATCTCCGTGTGTCTGCATGAGTTAGGGTGTTCCTCTATGAGATGGACATGGCAGTCCCAGGAAGGGATATTGTTCTGAACATCCCCCTAGGCCTGGGGGCAGGATGGAGAATAATCAAAGTAAGCATTCAAGTAGTATGAGTATGTACAGTTATTCTCCCTTTTTCAGGAGCTCAAAATTCCAAGTCCAAATAGGTTTCCTTTCAGGATTTAACTTTCAAATGGATTTCCTAAGACCATTTCCAAGGTGGCATCCATATAGTCAGCCTGAATACCTTGGAGCAGGCTAGGGGACAGCCATCTCCTCTCAGATGTCCTCTTGGGGGACATTGCAATGGCTCACACTGTAAATCACATCATGACCTAGCGTTTGGTCTTATTCCACATCTCATACCTTAAAATGTCCCCTGAAACCTGAGTATTCTCTATTTTCATTCCCTTTATCAACAAGGGAGACATTCTGATCCCAGCCTCCTGCTCATGAAGGAGTTAACCAGCATCATCAGTTTCCCTGCAAATGGAGCCCACAAGGTGGCTAGTTGTCAGACACAGGCTCTGAATCAAGCAGGTCATATGGCAGCTTTCTGATTTCCAATAAACTCACAAGTTAACTGTTTGCAGACAGACATCAACTCTCAACCTTCCCCCGTGAGCCTGGGACTGTAGGGGATCCGAGAGGCAGTGGTTGTTCAGTGGTAAAATTCTCACCTGCTACGCGGGAGACCCAGGTTCAATTCCCAACCAATGCACCTTATGTGCAGCCACCACCCATCTATCAGTGGAGGCTTATGTGTTGCTATGACGCTGAACAGGTTTCAGTGGAGCTTCCAAGCGGAGGTGGACTAGGAAGAAAGGCCTAGTGATCTACTTCCAAAAAAATCAGTCAGTGAAAACCCTATGGATTACAATGGTCTGAGCCACAACTGCTCATTGTGATGGCACAGGACCAGGCAGCGTTTTGTCCCGTTGAGCCTGGGGTTGCTGTGAGTCAGGGGCTGACTTGACGGCAGCTAACAACAGCAATGGGCGACCCAGGTCCCTATGCAAGATCACAGGTCCTGTTTGTTTCCAGTCCCTCCTTGCCACCAGAGGAGTTTAGCCCTGTTGGTTGTCTGGGTATGGAAATACTATGAGGAAGCTGTTGACTAATTTCAAGTCATGTTTCCCAACCCTTTGAGCCACTGAGATGCCTGCCAACTGGTTGGCATGAGGGGTAAAATGTGTGAAGAAAGAGGGGTCCTGGTCCTGTGGCCTCAACTGTCCTGGAGAGGAGGCCACCAGGCCCTGTCTTTTGCCACCAGTTGGGCAAAGTCCAGGCGTTTAGAGGTGTGGTTGCCCAGCCACAGTCACCCACCAACCCTTTCAAAATATGGAGTAAACCATCCATCAGACACTCATGATTTCAACCTGTCATTGGCTTCTAAACTATAACCTGTTGGGTGATAATTAAAATTTACTATCCAGTTTTATACGCACAGAATTCACCTCAATTAGAGAACCATCTGGTGAGCAGAGTCTTGTTCTGGTGGCATTTGCTGAAGGGTGGGGTGGCAAGCCACACAAGAGAACCGTTCTGGAATCCCCTTAGCAAGGGACTTTCTGTTCGTCTCCTCCCTTTCATAAAATGGAGAGAGAGTGCCTGCATTCTGCACCCCAGGGCGCGGCGCTATGCAGTAAGTATCTTGGAAACTCTCGGGGAAGGGGCCTGTGAGAAGCAGTACTGGGGGGGACAGGCAGGTCATAAACTCACCGCTGTTTATGTATGCACCATGCATGCCAAGGATTTACACGCATTTTGAAGGTTCACAAACAGTTATGACATGGCACTCATGTTTTCCTTGTACAGATGAGACAGTAGAGCCCAGAGGTTATAGAATTTTCCTGCATGTACTAGTTGGTGTAGCCTGACGCACACACCCATGCTGTGAACCAGGACACTAGTTGGCTGCAGATAGCTTTGCTAAAAGCCCCCTTCCGAGGGCCCCAGGCCTTGACACCGACAAGGTGGGTGCGTTTTGCACATGGAGAAATTGAAGCCACAGCAGGAAGTCCAGCGTCCACCATCCTGCCAAGCGTGCCATCTGGCCAGGCCTGTTTCTAGACCGCCTCTCCAGATGCCCGCAGGCCAACTGCACGTGGCCACTCCTCCTTCGACCACTAGCCAAGCTGCAGAGGCCTGGCAGGGAGGCCGTGGAGAGGGCTCAGCCCTGGCTGTCTGGCAGCCTTGGCTGGGACGAGCCCTGGCAAAGGTCGGAGAGGGCAGGCAGGAGCTCGGGGATCGGCAAGCTTGGGTTTGGAGGTCCAGCACCACCCTCCCCAGCTGGATGGCCTGGGACCACTTAACCCACCTCTCCGAGAGGTTGTTATAGGGAATCACACCTCACCCTAGCAAGGTGATCAGGAAACTTCATTAAAGTCACGTGTAGAATGTGACATGGTGGTGAAATGGTCAAGCAATCCATTCCTAACCTAAAGATTGGCCATTTGAACCTACCCAGCAACACCTCGGGAGAAAGGCCTGGTGATCTCCTCCCGTAGAGATTACCTCCCAGGAAACCCTTAAGGTGCAGGTCTACTCTGTCACGTGGAGTGTCAAATCGACTCAGCGGCACCCAACAACAACAATGTGCCCAGTGCTGGGCATCGCACATGGTGGGGGCTGAGAAAGTCCTCCATCCACCCATCTGACTGTTGCCGACGTTGGGGGTTTCCAGTTCGGGGCTACTGGATACAAAGAGTGCTGCTGGGCACATTCTCGTACATCTCAGAGACTGTGCTCTCCCGTGTGTGCCGTGCCGAGCTCACTGCTGACTTGGCTGTGTGGAGTGGACATCTCCAGATGCGCAGGTTTTCCTCCCCTTGCCCTGGATGGAGCAGGGCCACAGGAAGGGTCCCTATGAGTGTCAGATGTTAGAGTTAGGGAGCTCTTTAGAGACAGTCGGGCCCCCTCTTCCCCTTTTTGCAGGGGAATACACTTTGCCTCCCCTCCCCCGAGAAGTGAAGGGACTTGCCCCAGGTGGCACAGCGTGGTGGTGTCACAGCCCATGTGGGACCTGGGAGTCCTGATGTCGAGGCCACTGGTTATCAACAGGACCCACGAGCTGGAGAAGGGTCGGCTTCAGTCAGCTGAGTGGTGCCCAGGCCTAATGATCCCTTGGGCAGGTGGGGTGTTAACTCAGGCAGCCCCAGCTTCCCAGAGTTTCCTGGGGGGCTGAGGGTGGTCTGCCCACACAGGGCCCCTCTCTGACTCTGCCTGACCCTCAGGGAAGAGTTCAGGCCTGGATCTGCCAGAGCTGGGTTCAAATCCCAGGATCACTGTTCACTAGCCATGTGAGCATCTCTCTGTGCCAAAACCAGGGATGTAGATTGAGATGCTTAGCACGGTGCCTGGCTTGGTAGCATTAACCGGGTGGGCTGTGGCTTGAATGAGGGCCAGGGGGTGGACTGGGAGAGTCACCAGTGTGAGTACAGTTCAGTCCCTGGGGAGGGCACTGGTGCTGCTGAGCCCCTCTCTGCAGATGGCAGTCAGGATCCCCTCGTCTCCCCCACAGGCCCCAGGCTACCGGCAGGAGCGCGTGGAGAAGGGCCTGAAGCTCTTTGCGCAGCTTATCAACAACAAGGTGTTCCTGTTGTCCTTCATCCGCACGCTCGAGTCCCAGCGCAGCTTCTCCATGCGCGACCGTGGCAACGTGGCCTCACTCATCATGACGGTGCTGCAGAGCAAGCTGGAGTACGCCACCGACGTGCTCAAGCAGCTGCTGGCCGACCTCATTGACAAGAACCTGGAGAGCAAGAACCACCCCAAGCTGCTGCTCAGGAGGTGGGCATGCCCAGATCTCAATGAGGAGTTGGGGACCCTTACCAAAGCCCAGCCACTTGGCTGGCTCAGTGTGCCTGCCAGGGAGACAGGTTAGGGCACTGAGGTGCCCAAGATGGGGCTGTTTTAGATACCTTTTAAGAAGAACCCAGAGTCCTTGGGTGGTGCAAACGGTTAACACGCTCGGCTACTAACTGCAAGGTTGGCAGTTTGAGTCCACCCAGAGGCACCTTGGAAGAAAGGCCTGGCTATCTTCTTCAGAAAAACCAACCATTGAAAACCCTGTGGAGCCCAGTTACTCTGACACATGTGGGGTTGCCGTGAGTTGGCATCGACTCCACGGCATCCGGTTTTGTTGGTTTGTAAGAAGAACTCATCCATTAGTTTGGCATCTGGAACTTGCCAGGACCCATCTGCTCTCTCTCGTTTTTTCTTCTACCCTGTTATCTGCTGTCCATTCTTCCCCCTCTGTCCTGACACTCCCTTGACTTTGGCCCTTTCTGCTGGAATTATTCTCTGTTGGCGTCTTCGCAGGTCATATAGACCCTTCCTGGTCTTACCTAAACCAGGACTTGAATTCGGTGAGAGAACCCACCGCACCATCTCAGGATCAGAAGTTTTTGCTCCTTGCAACTGGAGGTCTTGTCTCTGGACAGCATCCGCGGGGAGCCGGTTAGCAATGCAGAATCTCAGGCCCCACCCCAGGCCCCCGAATCACAATCTGCATTTTCACAAGAAACCTAGGTGATTTGAATGCCTGTTAAAGGCTGAGCGGCACTGGTCTAGCCTATGTTTGAATTAAAGCCTTTGAACTTCAATTTGCTTGATGCTACCCAGCAAGTATTTCCTGGTGTCTGCTGTCAGCTCTGTACTGGGTGAGCTAGTGTTGGGCTGTTGGGTGCCTCACACTCAATGCCGTCAAAACCTCAGAGGTCCCATGAGGAGCCATAGCCATATCCTGTGGCTTCAGCCTCAGAGTAGATCAAGACTCTGACTCTACCCATGCTGCCATTAGAACTTTCCATGTGCTCAAAGGCGGTTTCTATCCAGTGTCTTTAGCTTTCACGCATCTGCAGTTGGGAGACTCCAAGTCAAGTCGTTATATCCAGTCCTCTACCTGGACCCTTGTCTGCCTCTGTCCACCTGCCTCCTGTCTCCATCTTTGGTGTCTCGGTCGGCGGCAGGGCCCCGGTGGCTCCCACTTAGTCCAGGGAGCGGTTCTGGCTTTCAGAGTGTGTACTGCAGGCCTTTTCCTGGTGCCACGGGCATTCGCCTGCACAGCTGCAAAAGGTTGCTACAGATAGGAGCAATCACACTGCTTTGGAAACAGCAAGGTAGATCATTTAGATTTTTGTTTTACTTTCACCAAGCAGCCACCCACTGGCATAATTCTAGGGTTGCCACCGCCTGGCAGAGCTCCCGCCGACAATCTCCCAGCGTGGTCTCGCGCCGTGTCTGCACACCTCATCCTCCTGTTTTCGATTCCCGCTCTCCCAGATGCCCTCTTGCTCCTGCTCTCCTCCATCCCCTTTTCTTCTTCTTGCCCCCAGCTCCCCCTCCTTTCAAGATTCTTCCTTCTTTTTTCTTCTCAGCATCATCGTGGGCTGGCAGCTGCCCAACTGCCTTCAGGCTTCAGTTGTTAGGATTTTCTGGCAGCTGCAACTTTGAACCGTATCCAAACATACCTGGATGAGAAGTCGCTCTCTGGAGCTGGCTGTGCGTTTAGTGCAAGGTTGAGCATGGTTTGTTTTCTCTAAATAGACGAAACCCACCGTGTCCTTGGCAGGTAAACCTGCTGCAGGCTTCTTACATCCGAAGGAAAAGAGTGAATGGGCTGGGGTTGTGGTGGGAAAGATTCATGTCAGATTCAAGAAGGAACTTCCTGTCATTGCAAATGAAACCCCTTAGCAACACTACAAATGAAAGCCTTTGAAATAGAACAAGTTTGTCATCTCTTGGGATGGGCTAGGTACATAGCTCAGGGTTTCTGGTGGCCCCGGAAGTCTTTAGCTTAGGCTATAGGGCTCAGCCACCACATGTCTGTCAGTTTGTCGTACAGTGGGGGCTTGCGTGTTGCTGTGATGCTGACAGCTATGCCACCAGTATTACAAATACCAGCAGGGTCACCCATGGTGGACAGGTTTCACTGGAGCTTCCAAACTAAAACAGACTAGGAAGAAGTACCTGGTGGTCTACTTCTGAAAAAAATTGGCCAATGAAAACCTTATGAATGACAGTGGAACATTGATATAGTGCCAGCCCCTCAGGTTAGAAGGCACTCAAAATATGACTGGAGAAGAGCTGCCTCCTCAAAGTAGAATCAACCTTAATGTTGTGGATGGAGTAGAGCTTTTGGGACCTTCATTTGCTGATGTGGCACGACTCAAAATGAGAAGAAACAGCTGCAAACATCCATTAATAAGAGGAACACAGAATGTATGAAGTATGAATCTAGGAAAATTGGAATTCTTCAAAAATGAAATAGAACGCATAAAGATCGATATTCTAGGCATTAGTGAGTTGAAGTGGACTGGTATTGGCCATTTTGAATCAGACAATCATATGGTCTACTGTGCTGGGAACTATAAATTGAAAAGGAATGGCGTCACATACATCATCAAAAAGAACATTTCAAGATCCATCCTGAAATACAGTGTTGTCAGTGATAAAATAATATCCATATGCCTACAAGGAAGGCCAGCTAATATGACTGTTATTCAATGTACACACCAACCACTAATACCAAGGATAAGGAAATTGAAGATTTTTACCAACTTCTGCAATCTGAAATTGATCAAACATGCAATCAGGATGCATTGATAATTACTGGTGATTGGAATTCGGAAGTTGGAAAAAAGAAGAAGAATCACTAGTTGGAAAATATGGCCTTGGTGATAGAAGTGACGCCAGCAATCACATGATAGGATTTTGAAAGACCAACGTTTATTCATGGCAAATACCTTTTTCAACAACATAAACAGAAACTATAAACATGGACCTCACTGGATGGAAAACATAGGAATCAAATCAACTACATCTGTGGAAAGAGATGTTGGAAAAGCTCAATATCATCAGACAGAAAAAGGCTAGGGGCCGACTGCAGACTCACTTGCTCGTTTGAAAGTTTAAGCTGAAGCTGAAGAAAATTAAAACAAGTGCACGAGAATCAAAATACAGCCTTGAGTATATCCCACCTGAGTTTGGAGACCATCTCAAGAAAAGATTTGATTCATTGAACACTAATGATTGAAGACCAGATGAGTTGTGGGATGACATCAAGGACATCATACGTGAAGAAAGCAAGAGGTCATTACAAAGACAGGAAAGAAAGAAAAGGCCAAAATGGATGTCAGAAGAGACCTTGAAAGTTGCTCTTGAATGTCAAGTAGCTAAAGCAAAAGGCAGAAATGATGAAGTAAAAGAGTTGAATAGAAGATTTCAAAAGGTGGCTCGAGAAGACAAAGTGAAGTATTATAATGAAAGGTGCAGAGACCTAGAGTTAGAAAACCAACATGGAAGAGCATGCTTAGCATTTCTCCAGCTGAAAGAACTGAAGAAAAAAATTAAGCCTCGAGTTGCAATTTTGAAGGATTCTGTGGAGCCCTGGTGGTGCAGTGGTTAAGCATTCGGCTGCTAACAAAAAGCTTGGCAGTTCGAATCCACCAGCTGCTCCTTGGAAACCCTATGGGGCAGTTCTAGTCGGTCCTATAGGGTCACTGTGGGTTGGAATTGACTTGACGGCAATGAGTTTTAAGGGCAAAATATTGAACAATGCAGGAAGCATCAAAGGAAAATGAAGGAATACAAAGAGTCACTGTACCACAAAGAATTGGTTGACGTTCATCCATTTCAGGAGGTAGCATGTGATCAGGAACCAATGGTACTGAAGGAAGAAATCCAAGTTGCACTGAAGGCATTGGCAAAAAAAAAAAAAAAAGGCTCCAGGAATTGACAGGATACCAACCGAGATGTTTCAACAAACAGATACAGTGCTGGAAGTGCTCACTCGTCTATGCCAAGAAATCTGTAAGACAGCTACCTTGCCAACCAACTGGAAGAGATCCATATTTGTGCCCATTCCAAAGAAAGGTGATCCAACAGAATGTGGAAATTATCGAAAAATATCATTAATATTATACAATAGTAAAATTTTGCTGAAGATAATTATAAAACAGTTACAGTGATACATCGACAGGAAATTGCAAGAAATTCAAGTCGGAATCAGAAGAGGAAGTGGAACCCGGGATATTATTGCTTATGTCGGCTGGATCTTGGTTGAAAGCAGAGAATACCAGAAAGATGCTTACCTGTGTTTTATTGACTATGCAAAGGCATTCAACTGTGTGGATCATAACAAATTATGAAATGGGAACTCCAGAACACTTAATTGTGTCCATGAGGAACCTGTACATAGACCAGGAGACAGTCATTCGAACAGAACAAGGGGATACTGCATGGTTTAAAATCAGGAAATGTGTGTGTCAGGGTTGTATCCTTTCACCATAGTTATTCAGTCTATATGCTGAGCAAATAATCTGAGAAGCTGGATTATATGAAGAAGAATGTGGCATCAGGATGGGTGGACAACTAACAACCTGTGATATGCAGATGACACAACCTTGCTTGCTAAAAGCGAAGAGGATCTGAAGCACTTACTGATGAAGATCAAAGAACATAGCCTTCAGTATGGATTGCACCTCAGCGTAAAGAAAACAAAACCCCTCACAACTGGACCAATAAGCAACATCATGAAAATGAAGAAAATAATGAAGCTGTTAAGGATTACATTTTACTTGGATCCATGATCAATGCCCACAGAAGCAGCAGTGAAGAAATCAAATGACATATTGCATTGGGAAAATCTGCTGCAAAAGACCTCTTGAAAGTGTTCAACAGCAAAGATGTCACTTTGAGGACTAAGGTGTGCCTGACCCAAGCCACGGTATTTTCAGTCGCCTTGTATGTATGCAAAAGCTGGATAATGAATAAGAAAGACTGAAGAAGAATTGATGCCTTTGAATTATAGTGTTGGCAAGGAATACCGAATATACCATGGACTGTCAGCAGAATGAACAAGTCTGCCTTGGAAGAAGTACGGCCAGAGTGCCCCTTGGAAGTGAGGACGGCGAGACTTCATATCACATACTTTGGCCATGTTATCAGGAGGGACCAGTCCCTGGAGAAGAACATCATGGTTGATAATGTAGAGGGCCAGAAAAAAAGAGGAAGACCTTTGACGAGATGAATTGACTAAGTGGCTTCAACAGTGAGCTCAAACATAACAATGACTGTGAGGATGGCGCAGGACGAGGCAGTGTTTCCTCGTGTTGTACGTAGGATCTCTATGAGTCAGAACGTAATGCACCTAACAACAACAACAAATAGGACTTAGCCTGGCCTTTTTACCCCAGTCCCCTTCCTAGTACCTTTCCTTCTGTCCACTGCCAAATTAGTATCTTCCCAGTTTTTTGTTTTCCTTCTCTCCCCTAAAGGACGCATATACCCTGTAACTTCTCTTTCCTGTTGCCATCGAGTTAGTTACAACTCATAGAAACTCCATGTGTCAGAGTAGAACTGTGCTCCATAGGGTTTTCTTTTTCTTTATTGTTGTAGTTTAAGTGAAAGTTTACAATTCAAGTTAGTCTCTCATACAAAATTTATACATACATTGTTATGTGACCCTAATTGCTCTCCCTATACTCTGACAGCACACTCCTCCTTTCCACCCTTGATTTCCCATGTCCATTCAACCAGCTCCTGTGTCTCTCTGCCTTTTCATCTCGCCTCTGGACAGGAGCTGCCCATTTAGTCTCATGTATCTACTTGAGCTAAGAAGCACACTCTTCACGAGTATCATTTTATGTCCCATAGTCCAGTCTAATCTTTGTCTGAAGAGTTGGCCTTGGGAATGGTTTTAGTTCTGGGTTGACAGAGAGTCCGGGGGCAGTGCTTTCTGGTGTTCCTCAAGTCTCAGTCAGACCATTAAGTCTGGTCTTCTTACTAGAATTTGAGTTCTGCACCCCACCTTTCTCCTGCTCCATCAGGGACTCTCTGTTGTATTCCCTGTCAGGGCGGTCATTGGTGGTAGCCAGGCACCATCTAGTTCTTCTGGTCTCAGGTTGATGCAGTCTCTGGTTTACGTGGCCCTTTCTGTCTCTTGGGCTAATTCTTTCCTTGTGTCTTTGGTGTTCTTCATTTTCCTTTACTCCAGGTGGGTTGAGACCTATTGATGCGTCTTAGATGGCCGCTCACTAGCTTTTAAGACCCCAGATGCCACTCACCAAAGTAGGATGCAGAACATTTTCTTAATAAACTTTGTTATGCCAATTGACCTAGATGTCCCCTGAAAGCATGGTCCCCAGACCCCCGCCCCTGCTACTCTGTCCCTCGAAGTGTTTGACTGTATTCAGGAAACTTCTTAGCTTTGGCTTAGTCCAATTGTGCTGGCTTCCCCTGTAGTGTGTGCTGTCCTTCCCTTCACCTAAGATAATTCTTGTATACTATCTAGTTCGTAAATAACCCTCACCCTCCCTTCCCACCCTCGTAACCATCAAAGAGTGTTTTTGTCTGTGTTTAAACCTTTTCTTGAGTTCTTATACTAGTGGTCTTATATAATATTTGTCCTTCTGTGACTGACTAATTCACTCAGCATAATGCCTCCAGATTCCTCCATGTTATGTTTCACGGCTTCGTCGTTGTTCTTTACTGTTGCACAGTATTCCATTGTGTGAATATACCATAATTTGTTTAATCATTCATCCGTTGATGGGCACCTAGGTTGTTTCCATCTTCCCAAAGGGTTTTCACTAGCTGATTTTTTGAAGTAGATCACCAGGCCTTTCTTCTGAAGTGCTTCTGAGTGGACTCAGCTTCCAGTCTTTTGGTTAGCAGTGAGCACATTAACTGTTTGCACCACTAAGGGACTCCATAAAGTTCTCTATGGCTGTACTATCCTATATGGTAGCTACTATGTGACTATTTAAATTTAAATTAATTCAAAGTAAATACACTTTAAAATGCAGCTCTCCACCACAGGAGCCACATTTCCAGTGTCCAGTAGCCACATGTGGCCTGTGGCCACTGTACTGGGCAGAGCAGATGTAGAATGTAGAATGTTTCCATCACTGAAGAATGCTCTGCTAGACAGAACTACTCTCAGGCTTTCCCAAAAAGGCCACCTGTGAACCTGACACTCAGAACGTCATCATCCAGCTTGGTGGGGAGAGCTGGTCTTGACATTAGGGGGTGTCTAGGAGTCCACGAAACTTGCGTATTCTTTAGGATCTCAAGATTTGGCCTAAAAGACACAAATAGCAAGATTAATGCAAGCCTCTTCCCCTGCCCTCCCTAGCCAGGGCCTCTGACCACCTGCCTTCTTCTTTCTTTTGCTCTGCTGGTTCCCTTGGTGACCGGTGACAGGACGGAGTCGGTGGCTGAAAAGATGTTGACCAATTGGTTCACTTTCTTACTCTACAAGTTCCTCAAGGTAGGGTTGGATGTGAGTGTTGCTGTGCTGCCTTGGTACCCCAAGGGTTCTAACCTTCTTCCCCCCAGCCTGTCCCATTTCCCTCCATGCCCACAGTCCACACTCTCGAGGGCTGACTCTTACAACCCCCACAAGAAACAGAACCCCCTCCTCACTACGAGGAACAGCCTCCTGGCCATGTCAGAAGGCACAGCCCCCAAGTCCTTGTTTGAGAGACACAGACCCTGAGGCTGCTTTCCCCCCAGGCGAGGGACAGAAAAGCCCCTTTCAAGGGCCCTAAATCCCCCATGTAAGCTAAAAACAGTTCACTCGTGATCTCCTGCCTCCCGTCTCCCCTCACCCTCTGTGCCTCTCCAGTCCAGACTCCAGAGGCTGACAAGGTCCCAGGCAGACATGGGAGCAGCGCTGTGACTGGGGTTGGGAGAATGGCCTGTTTCCAATTATTCACTTGTTTCCTCAGGAGTTTACACCACAGAGGGCTGCCCTGGGCCTCGGGATGGGGCTCCAGAGAAGGCTGGGAGTGGGGCAAAGGAGGAGAGAAGGGGTAGGAGGCAGGGAGGAAAGGAAAGAGCTCTAGGAAGGTGGGAGGAAAGACCAGGAGAGACGGAACCAGAAGGGAGAGAGTTGGAGAAGAGGGAATTGATGAGCTGAGAGAAAAGCATGTGGGCACAGGAGCAGAGAGAAGGAGTTGGCAGCAGCCCCTGGGAGAAGCAGGGACTCCGGGATGTGGCCCAGCCTGTTCCTTCTCTTCATCTAGGAATGTGCTGGGGAGCCGCTCTTCTCCCTGTTCTGTGCCATCAAGCAGCAGATGGAGAAAGGTCCCATCGATGCCATCACGGGCGAGGCCCGCTACTCCCTGAGTGAGGACAAGCTCATTCGCCAGCAGATCGACTATAAGACCCTGGTAGGTCACCTCATTGCCTCCTCACTGCTCCAAGAGGTGGGCTGTGGTCCTGGGGAGCCCCTTCCTGGCTGAGAGGGCTGTGGAAAGGCTAAAAGCCAGATCTCCAGGTGTGTCACCTGCAGGGGCCCAGCCAGGTGTCCACCTGTGCCAGTCACTTCAGATGTCTTCTGTGCCACCACACCAGGACATCTGGCTTTGGGGACCTATGGCCCAGACACATCTCAGCAACACTTCCACAAATACTCGTGTGGTCCCAGGGCAGTGACCTGAATGGTGGAGTCACACCCATGCCATCAAGTGGCCACTGACCCCAGGAGCTTCTGCTCATCGGCCCTCCCGGCGTGGAGAACCAGCACTTCATAGAGCAGCTCCACACAGGAAGGGGTTGGGGGCACGGAGGACAGAAATAGAAATGTTTCTCAAGGCTCGGAAACCCACATTTGCACACTGGTCTAAGCGCCAATATGTCTGATCTGCCGTGACCTGAGCTGTACAGTGGGATGCCAAGAAGGCCTGGTGGATGAAGGTGTGTGTCCATGGAACGGGGCCCCCACAGGAGGCCGGGTAGCTTAGTGTACATTCAGACAGACCAGGATTTGAGCCCTACCTCTGCCACTGACCAACTGAGTGATTTGGGGCAAATCCCTAATCTCTCTGAGTTTGGATTTGTTTATCTGAAAGATGGGGATTATAATCGACCTTTCTAGAATGGGGATAATAATAGTGCCTGCCTCACAGGTTGCTGAGAGGATGTGGTGAGATAAGATGCGCCTGGTGGAGGCAATGTGAATGCTCATGGTGCTGCTCAGCCAGCCCCCCACCCTCCTGCCCAGGGAGCTCACACCCAGGCAGCATTGGGGAGAGTTGTCATCGCCCACCAGGAAAGGGGAGAGAAAATGGAAGGAGAGAATGAGAAAATCCAATAAAAGATGGATGTTGGGGTGATGTGTGGGTGGTCCCCAAGAATGGAAGCCAGAGAGACAGCAGTGGGAAAGGAAAGAAGGGGACAGAGATCAGATGGAATCTGGAAGGCAATTCTCAGGAGAGTAGACAGACAGCAGAGAGGGCGCCGGGCAGCGGGCTAGGCAGGTGGCTCTTTAACAAGCCCGCCAGCCTCGTGCTGAGCCGGCTGAGTCCCAGACTCTGCGGCCAGCTAGGGAGACAGTCCCCACCACACTGACCCGGAGGCATGCTGCCGCCTGTCCCACTCCCGTCTTCAGACCCCGGGAATCCCGATGGGTGTGTGTCTGAGCAGACTTGCCGGGTTTGGCCCCTTGACGAGGACTCAAGCGAGCAGAGTGAACGAGGCCACTGCTTCCCAGCGGTCCGCGTCTGCTCTGGAGGAGGGAGGTGGAGGCTCTCCGACTAAAACGGGAAAGGGGGAGGGGGGAGAAACCCTTCCAAAAATAGAGTACTGAATAGATTTCTTAATGAGACAGAACTACCGTTTAAATGTCTCCTGCCTCGTCTCCCCCCTCCACTCCCATTCTTTCCTGCTCTCATCAGCGGCTTCCCAATATCGAATCCAATGCAATGCGTTGCAATAATGCTTTGTCTCCAAATTGCAGCATCCTTTATTCCAGAGGCCAACCTACTGTTAGCACACCGAGCCTGTTTTCAGGAACCCCGGCTTAAAGATGAGATGAAGAGATTGGGGTGGGGTGAAGAACCTCCACTAAGATGGAGGGACCTGGGGAGAGGGATGACGAAATGGCAGGGAGAAATTGCAATGGTTTTGCCTGGAGAAGAAACAGCTGCAGGGAGGGGAAGGAAGAAAGGATGTCAGCAGCAGGCAGGGCTTTCAGGAGACTCAAGGCAAGGGTTCAAATAAATAGTCGTGGAATTGGGTGGTGGCTGGAGGAGCCAAGGATCACAGGCCAGCTGATAGTAACCTTGTCCTAGGCAGGACGGTGACTGCCAAGAAGGCGACAGCTCTGAGGGGCTCAGGAGGAACTGAGCACTTCGCTTTATACTTCGGGCACCTCTTAACTGTCAAGTGATTAATTGGATCTCAGGCTAGCATGGCCCTGCTGCTGGGAGTGGCCCGAGGGCCAGCAGCAGCACCCCTGGGACAGTGATGTCACTAGGATTGGTGTCAGCCAGTGTAGTAACTCATGGTGTCACCTCCCCCATGGACCTGCTCCCATAACAGACCATACAGACACCTTAGTAATGTTCCTTGTACTAATGTTACTCGTAAACTGTAATTCCCGTATATCACTCCCTTCTTTTCCTTTAATTATTACTTCTTCTCAAAGAAGTTAGTGATATAGGTTCACGAATACAAAGTACCACAATGTTGTAGCTAAAACACCAGAAAATTTGACAAAATCAGTGATTATAAAAACACTGGCCGCAATGAAAACAGCAGTGCTCATAGCGGTGCAGACAAAACCACGTGATTCAAAGCGTCATTGTAATTGGATAATAAGGACAGCTCTGACCTGAGTGCATCAGAAGGTTCAAGATGTAAATTAGCATAGAGTGTTAGCCTTGTAGGTATATTCATACACGTAAGCCAGGCTAACGAAAAATGTTTTTGTTGTTATAACTAACTAGAGGGATATTTTTATAGACAGTCATTTTGGTGTCACCCCCTCTGACAGTGTCACCCCATGTGACTCACACCCCTGCACTCCCCTCGTGACACCACTGCCCTGGGAGGCTGCTCAAGTGTAGAATCTCAAGCCCCACCTGGCCCACAAGAATCAGAATCTGCATTTTAACAATACCCGGAAGTGGTTCTTATGCTCGTTAAGGTGCTAGAGGCATTGCAGGCCCTTGCAGAGAAAGCGCCAGGCAATTTGCTCAGAAATCAGCCCAAGGGGTGTGATGGGAGAGAGAACTTCTGGGTGGAGCTGGGGCTTGGCCAGTGGCCAGGGAGACCTGTCCTTCTGTGGGATCACTTTCTTTCTGGAAGGTAGACCCCGACCCTGAAGCATCCATGAAGCCTCCTTATCAGGCCACTTGAGCCCTGGGGCAGTCGAAATGCCGGGAGATGGTACTCAGGTCAGAGTCTTATGGTTGACTCAGCCTTTGCCTCGTGATCTCTTGGAGGAGGAAGCCCAGAAAAACCCATGTTGCTGCCCAGGAGAGGCTAAGCCACTCTACCGCTGCCCAGAGGGGAGTGCAGCAGGGGCAGCCAGAGCAGCTGAGGGCCAGGCTGTGCTTGCCTGCTTAGGAGCGCAGGGCAGGGCTTCTGGAAGTCTGGTAGGAGGAAGGGAGGGGATGGGAGCGGGCACTCAGAAAGAATGCATGGTCCAGAGCTCCCTGCCATCATTTTCAGTCTAGGACATTTTGAGGGTGAGAGTCTGGTGTTACAGATTTAAGAGAATTGTTTTCGTCTCAATGGAACACGCATGTCCCCAGCTGAGCCCACAGCAGTCTGGTTGCTAATGAAAAGCAGGCATCCAGGGCCGAGGTTCTAATTGCCACCACGTGGAGCAGGAGAGGCTGGGAGGGAGGCTGTTGTCTGGCTCTGCAAACCAGATGTGGCAACTGGGGATGGTTATGGGGTAGAGAGAGTTCAGGAAAGGAGAGAGGAAGAGGCCCAGGCAACAGGGCCAGAGGGAGGGTGTGGGAGCCGAGAACAGTCTGCTTACCTATGACTGCCCAGGCCTCTGCCCTGGCTCACTCCCGCACCCCCAAGCACCCACCCCATTCCCTGTGGTCACCCAGGATCCCACACAGCCTCGTCAATGTAGAAAGAGCCCACTCTGAGAACAGCAAGAGAAGGAAACCCTTGGCAAGGGCCTGGATCAGTACCAGTTACTGTCGAATTGATTCCAACTCCTGGCGACCCCACGTGTGTTAGAGTAGAACTGTGTGCCACAGGGTTTTCGATGGCTGATTTTTTGGAAGTAGATCGCCAGGTCTTTCTTCCAAGGAACCTGTGGGTGGATTCAAACCTCCAACTTTTCAGCTAGTAGCTGAGCGCATTAGCCATTTGCACCACCCAGGAACTCCTGGAAAGGGCCCAGAGCTTTTTAAAGTAAAAACATATCATTTGGGGCTTTAAATTTTCCGGCTAGTTCCAAAAAGGGAAACTGAGGCCTGAATCAGGAGGTGCCCTCCTCCCCTATACACGGCATCAGGGTTCAGAGCTGGGAATGAATCTCGGGTGGCTGTAACCTGCCCTTTTCAAAAGACATGCTTTTATTTTTAAAGAACATGTTAAGTTTCTTATAGATTCTCCAACCTCTGGTCAGCCTGAAACCCTCACAAAAATTGAAGCTTATGAAATCCTTTGAGAAAGGGGCCAGACCTGACAGGGGATACACCAGAGAGTCCCTGCTGGAGCAGGAGAAAAGTAGGGTGCAGAATTCAAATTCTAGTAAAAAGACCAGACTTAATGGTTTCATTGAGACTGGACGGACCCCAGAAGACATGGTCCGTGGACTCTCTGTTAGCCCAAAACTAAAACCATCCCTGAGGCCAGCTCCTCAGACAAAGATTAGACTGGACTATGGGACGTAAAATGATACTCATGAGGAGTGTGCTTCTTAGCTCAGGTAGATACGTGAGACTAAATGGGCAGCTCCTGTCCAGAGGTGAGACGGGAAGGCAGAGAGGGTTAGGAGCTGGCTGAATGGACGCAGGAAATCCGGGGTGGAAAGGAGGAGTGTGCTGTCACAGTATAGGGAGAGCAACTAGGGTCACATAACAAAATATGTATAAATTTTTGTATAAGAGGCTCACTTGAATTGTAAACTTTCACTTAAAGCACAACAATAAGATAAAATGAAAAGAGAAGGGGGCCAGATTCCTGTGAGTTCTGAATGTGAGTGTCTGTTTGAGAGAGAGTGGCAAGACAGACGGATGGATACGCAGAGGCAGGCAAGGGCCCATGTTCTGGGCTGGCACAGGCATGTGTGAGGGCGCAGTGCACGTGTGGGCAGGGGTTAGTGTTCATTGAGTGCAGAGGCCTCGTAGCCCCTCCTTCTCCAACATGATTCCCTTTGAACTGTCAGGACTTCAGTGACAGGTGTGCAGCCCCCGCACCCCCACCCCCGCAGTGACACCAAAGCCTTGGTGCCCCCTGCTTGTCAGGACAGTGAGTTTGGTGGAAACACAGAAGGGCCAGGTCACCTCGCCCCTCTGCAGACCATTCTGGAAGGAGGAGCCATTCAGGATCACAGAACCCCGGAGCTCTTCCTACTGCCCTCCCACTCACCTCCTGTCCCCACCCCAGGTCCTGAGCTGTGTCAACCCAGACAACGCCAACAGCCCCGAGGTCCCCGTGAAGATCCTTAACTGCGACACCATCACGCAGGTCAAGGAGAAGATTCTGGATGCCATCTTCAAGAACGTACCCTGCTCCCACCGGCCCAAGGCTGCAGACATGGACCTGGGTGAGTAGGCTGTCCGCCTGGGGGGGTGCCCTGTGGCTGGTGCTGACAGTGGTAGGCCCCTGTGTACCTCCTGCCTCCCTTGTCAGGAGCAAGGCCAAGCTGAGGTGCAGGTAACAGAGGCAGAAAGGGGCGTCCAGGGAAGCAGAGGCATGGCCTGGGGGCCCTCATGGTCCCCCCGGAGCCCATGGAGTTTGCCTTCATGCCTCGTGGGCTGGTCAGAGCCAGTTAGGGAGGGGTGGGAAGAGAGGGGCCCAAAGGCCTGTGGGCAGCCCGGCCTAGCCGGGGGTCTTTTGAGTAGCCTGAGGGGGGAGTGGAGGAGTCACATGTGGAGCGAAGGGATGTTAGAGATAAGTCTGCTAGCCTGAGCCCGTGTGGTCCAAAATCTTGCCACGACCTACCTCTTGTCCTGCAGGTTGTTCCCCTCCCTTCTGTTCTGTGTCTGTAATTTTTGCTGAATACCTGAGGCAGAGAGATCTGCGTCAGTGATGGGGGACGGAGGGGAAGAACAGAGACAATGAGCCGTGACAGCCTGCTGGGGAGCAGGGTGACACTTGATTTGAATGCTTCATGAATAGGTTGCATAGCCTATATAAACAAGGCCACTTAGAGCCAGCTGTACTGAGACCCGGTCATGTTTCATAGGACATCATTCTGGGAATCCTAGAGGGGCGCCCCAGGCTCTGAGGGGGCCGGGGTGGAGGAGGGGCAGTTCGGCGTTGTGGGTCAGTGTCAAACACACTTGGATTTGAGTTGTCGACGCTGCCAAGTCCTAGCTGTGTGACCTTGGCCCCGTTACTTAACCCTTCTGTGCCTCCGTTTCCTTGTTTCCGAAGTGGAGATAACAGTGGTACCTGCCTCATAGTACGAATGAGATGAGATCGTGCGTGTGAAAGTCCCTTACGGCAATGCCTGGCCCAGAGCATGTGCAGTAAACGTTGGCGGCTGTGGTTATTGACGACGAGAAGAATGCTGGTGGGTCTGTCTGTAGATGCGGGGCATGGAGAGAAAGGCGTTTGTGTGTGTACTTGTGTCTGGAGAGTCACAGCAACATGGGGGTGGGAGGCCCCTCCAGAGCCCCTGACCCACGCATCTGGCCCCTGAGCTGGCTTCGGCTAAGCCACGCAGGGGAGACGGGTATCTGTGCTGTGTTCCGAGATGCAGAGGGAATGTTTATCCCCTCCTGCCGCCCACCTCCCCCCAGACTCTGATGCCTAAAGACTGTTAGGGTCAGGAAATTCTGCTCACCCACACTTCGTGGCTTCACCTGCCCTGTCTGTTCTGGCCTGGCTCTAGGCTCGAGAAGTCTGGCTCTGAACCCAGAGCACTGAGGCTGGAGGAGATTGGGTGACACGTGTTCCCTCTCACTCTGTACTTATCTCGGGACATGTGGTTTCCAGGACACGCAGGATGCATGCATGAGCTGGGGTGGGTGGTGTGCGAGTGTGCCCCACGGGTGCCCAGGGCTTTGATCCTGAGTTGGAATGGACCCTGGTGCCTGCTGCCATGCTCATCCCCCAGACTAGCGGGGGGAGGGGCCTGTCAGAGACCCAAACCAAAAAAAACCAAACCAGTCACCGTCATGTTGATTCCTGACACATGGCAACCCTGTGTGTGTCAGAGTGGAACTGCTCCATGGGGTTTTCAGTGGCTGAGTTTTTGGACGTAGATCACCAGGCCTTTCTTCTGAGGTGCCTCTGAGTGGACTCGAACCTCCAACTTTTGATAAGTAGTGAGCACAGTAACTGTTTGTACCACCCAGAGGGAGAGAGAGAGCCTCGTGGTTCCCACCCACAAACAACAGAGTGGGCTGCACCATAATGGGTTTTTCCGGGAGAGATGAGCTTCGTAGGTGGCCAGGGAACACCCAGCGTTCCTTTTGTTTGTTTTGTCTGCGAACCCTCTGGCAGGGCCTCGCTCGGCTTCCCAGTGTGCCTGTCTGCATGATGGGCTGGGTGATAACCCGGCAGAGCGTAAGAGCTGTTCTGAGAACAGGCATCTTCACACTTGAAAGTGTGTTTGAAAAGGTTGTGCTAGAACACAGAGGGGGCTCAGGTGTATAGGTGTGGAGAGAGTGTGTGGGCTCCCTGGTGCTTGGGAATGGTCTGACTTCCCATGAGGGAGAGCAGGTGGCTCCATGGCCTCTACTAAGGGACGGGGCTGCATTTTACACGGGGAGACCTTCTCTGTCCTGACCAGTGAAGGGCAGATGGGTGGTTGAGAAGAGGTAAGCCCTGAGCTGGCTTCAACACTTGCTGGATCTCGAGAAGGATGGGGCCAAAGTGCTTCGAAGTCATCGCCACCCCGACCTGAAGGGCACCTCTAAGCAGAATCAGGGTCATCCTCTGTGCCTGCTTGGTTCTGGAGGGGGACTGGTTCCGGAGGGGGACTGGTTCCGGAGGGGGACTGGTTCCTGGTGGTGGATGCTGCTCAGACCCAGCCCTTTCCACCTGGCAGCTGCACCTGCTGAGGGCAGGAGGGAAGCAGCTGCTTATTAGCTTTAGCAAATTGCTCCCTTAAAAAGCCGGGGATGCAAGCACAGCGAAGCAAAGCGTTAAGGAGAAGAGAAGGCACAAAACAGCCCCAGGCGGAGTCGTCCCATCCGCAGCCGAAGCTGCAGCCTAAGATGCTGCCTTAGCCATCCGTCCTCAGGCACAGGAGCTGGGGGCTGCTGGGAGCCCAGCGCCTGTCCGAGGTGGCGCTGTCCCAGTGAGCAGCGGCCGGCCCAGGGCACACCCCCTGCCTCCTGGGAGGGCTGGTCCCTATGACATAGCCCTCAGTACCACTGCTCATCCTTCACGAGTCCACGAGAGAAAAGGGCCATGTCTCCCCTCACTTGGCTGCTGGGGGGGATGTGAGGTCACCCCTGGGGAGTCAGGCTTCCAAGCAGGGACAGATAGAGGGGAGAGGCAGCAACGGCTGGCAGCTCGGGCCTCGGACCCCTCCATCCGCGGGGGGCGGGGGTCATGCTGAGCTCCTCAGAAGGCTCCACTCAACCTCCGGTTTTCCTACTAAACCCAGGGATGGAGCAGCCCTAAGGCCTGGGCTTCCCCTCCCCAAACAGCCAGCATCCTCCTCAGAGACCAAACCTTCTCCTGCACTATTTGACTCAGCCGCGTGGCCCCACGGGAGAGAAGAGGCAAGGCAGTCTTTCCCATCTTGTAGGTGACAGGACATTGAAAGCCTGAGAGCAGTTTTTAAACGTAAAGTATGATTGTTATAAAAAATTAATCTACGCTGAAGGGACAGGTGTGGCACGCACATACACAGAGGATGCACTCACTCAGCCACTCCCCCCAGCAGAGGGCACTGGGCACAGACTGCCTCCCCTCCTCCTGACGCCTACCCCTGGCAGGACAAGGACACCTGCCCCAGGCCCACTCAGAAGAAGGCAGACACCATAAGCCAGCCCTGAACTCGTGCCCAGTTAGCCCAGCCCCTTTCCCAGCACCCACCCTCGGTCATCCCCAGTGACCCCAGGCCTGGCTAGCTCCTCCATCCAACACTTCTGTCCACTGCTCCTTCAACTGAGTCTCTCCCTCCCACCCTGTCACCAGGCTTTTCCAGGCATTAACTAACCAAGGGTGGTGCAAACAGTTAAGGCACTCAGCTGCTAACCAGAAGGTTGGAGGTTCGAGTTCATCCAGAGAAACCTTGGAAGAAAGGCCTGACAATCTGCTTCTGAAAGGTCATAGCCTTGAAAACCCTCTGGAGCATGGTTCCTGTCTGACACACACGGGGTCACCATGAGTCGGAATGGACTTGATGGCAGCTCGTTTTTAACTAACCAAGATGAGAACCAAAGGAAAAGACTGAGGGCCCCTCCACTGCAGGCTGTTGGAATTTGGGGGCCCAAAGATGTCACAGGGGCAGGTGGCTGGGGAAGGTGCTGGGGCTGGTGGCCTTGGGACGTTCTCAAAGCACAGTGCCCAGGGGCACCCCACCCTCTTGACATGAAGCCATCTCAACCACCCCTAAAGCCCCTCTCCACCAACAGGTATTGGGACCAGTGGGTACTGCTTGCATCTCTGGACACTTTAATAATCATTTCATAGCAGCCTACCTTGCGGCAAGCTCCAGGCCAGGCAGGGGTCTCCCCTGGACCAACATGACTAGGGAAGGCCGCTCATTTCTTGTCACGGTAGCAGAAGGCAGGACACTCCTCCATCTGAACCGAAGCACTCCTGGTCTCCTCCCTTAGCTTCCCTGAGGACATCACCGGTGTCATTCAGCTCCCCTGCACAGAGGGAGACTGCAGCCCAGAGAGGCACAGTGCCTGGGCCATGGTCACACAGCAGGGAGGCTGAGACGCAGCACATCCCACCCGTTCCCATCACACACGGTGGCATCCATGTGTTTCTTCTCCTCCCTGCTACTGCCTGTGACCTCCAGAGATTCCTGGCTTAATGCAAATACTTATCGTAGCCCCCGGAACTCGCCACCCCATCTCTCTCAAGCGGCGCTGAAAGGATATATTTTTTCAAATAAGTAATTCCTGTATGCAATAAAAAGATACACTGTCTCCTGAGTGAAATCTAAAGAGTGCGCAACAGCTGTCTCCCCAGTTTGCATTTACCCTGCTCCTGATGGGAAGGACAGATAAAGATAATGGGATTTTTTTCTTTTCTGCGCACCTCCCTCTCTCCCTGGAAGGTGGCCGTGGAACAAATTGGATGGTGAGTGTGTCTGTCCTTTGTGCTTGGAGCCTGGGGTAGGGCACGGGGCTGCAGGGCAGGCGCAGTGAGAGAGGTCAGAGCTAGCAATTTTATCATGGTGCCATGCGTATGAATGCCAGGGTCACCTTCCCTACCCCCCACCGCCCACCACCTGCCTTTTTAACTCTTCTTGGAACCAGCTACCGCTCAGAGGAGCACCGGAGCCGCTGCATTCCATATTCAAGAGGTTCCATGAATTTGCAGCTCTTCTTTCTTAAATGGGTAGCAGAGGCATCCTGCTCCCTTCTGCTCTCCAAACAAACCAAAAAACCCGTTGCCATCGAGTTG